TCTGGTAGATCCCTGCCATCCCCTAAAGGAAAGTAACCTTGCAATATCCAATCTGCTTTTCTGCCCAGTATAACTTCCTTGTTCCTGCTCCCTTCTATTTATACAAGTCTTTCATTTTGTATAGCTCCTGGGAACCCCTTTCTATCTGCTAGATTGGATACTGCCCAATTCATAAATCGTTGACTAAAGCCAACTAGAGCTTTAACATTTTACTCAGTTGAATTTTGTTTTATAACACATTTATTGAACATATACTGTGCATCGTGTCATCTTAAATCACTCTTTCATCTTAATTCCACAATAGGGCAAAGTCCCTTGTTATTTAATTCTTCCAATAGCAAGAAACTGTTATTAGCTTCCCTCCCCCCCCCCCCTACCACAAATTCTACATATAAAGCTTCAAGAAGGGACTTGTCTGAGATTCTGGGGACCATGAGGAATGGAGCTCAGGTTGACCTCATGTGTGTTTGACACTAACATGTGCTCTTGGACCTCCTGCCATGTGCCTTCCTGATTGTTCTCTGGTTTCCTTTAGTACCAGCCCAAGACCACACAGGTAGAGAGGGCAAGGTTGGGGTACCAGCTGAGTCTGCCTGCCTGACTCCAGAGTCCCTGGTCTTAATCACTAGTCACCAAAAAGGAAGAATAGAAAGAAGGGATCTGTCCTACCAGATATTAAAACATGTGACAAAGCTGCAGAAATTAAAACAGCATGAGCACTGGTTTAGAAAGCCACAGACAGATCAATGGAGAGTCCAGGAATAGACCCAAACACACAGGAAAGTTTAGTGAATAATAAAAGCAGGGAAGTATCAGTAGAGAAAATATGAGTGAGTCAACTAACAGTTTTGGTGCCATTATCTAGTAAGTCAAGCTGGATCCTTAACCCCCTTCTTTCTCCAAAATTAATTCCATATGAATCAAATATTTCAGTGTTAAAAAAAACCCTCAAAAGTTCTACAAAGTCTGCATGAGTAATTTATAAAATGGGACAGAGAGGGGAGGGGATGCAAGGTTTCTAACTATGACATTAATGGCAGAAACCATAAAAGGGAAAAACAAAAAGAGGAATAGATTTGACTCCAAAAAGGTTTTTATTTAATTGAAATATAGTTGATTTACAAGGTTGTGTAAATTTCTGCTGTACAGCAAAGTGATTCAGTTATACATATATATACATTCTTTTTTTTAATATTCTTTTCCATTATGGTTTATCACAGAATATTGAATATTGTTTCCTGTGCTAAACAGCAGGACCTTGTTATTTATCCGTTCTCTATATAATACTTTGTATCTGCTAACCCCAAATTCCCAATCCTTCCCTCCCCCACCCCTCTCCCCCTTGGCAACCACAAATCTGTTCTCTATGTCTGTGAGTCTGTTTCTTAGATATGTTCATTTGTGTCGTATTTTAGATTCCACATATAAGTGATAGCATATGGTATTTGTCTCTCTCTTTCTGACTTACTTCGATTAGTAAGATAATCTTAAAGATTAAGATAAGCCCATCCATGTTGCTGCCCAAAAAGTTCTAAAACCTTTGAATGTCAGACAAATTGAGGGAAATCTTTGCAACAAAAGGATAATACCCATAAATATAAAGGGAGTTCTTATAAATTAATAAGAGAAATAGCCAACACACTTCAAGAGGAAAATGGGCCAAAAAGGGGCCTTTATAAAGAAATACATCTAAAGGTCCATCAATGTATGAAAAGATTTGCAGTCTTATTAGCAGGGCTGGAACTAGGCTGAGGCAAGTGGGGATGTGTGTAAAATTTAAGGAGGCTCTCACTCTCAGGATGGTGCAAGTACAGGGTGGGCACCTGAGGGTGCGTGCCTCCTTAAACTTGTCAGTTAATAGAGTCCTCTTGGAGAGCTGTCTGGCAAAATGGATCAATATTTTAAACGTGCAAACTCTTTGGCAAAATGATTCCATTTTTAGGACCCGACCCCAGGGAAATAGACAGGTGTGCCAAGAAACGCATCTAGGATATTTGTAACATCAAAAAATGACAAGGACAGTCCCCATAGGGACCGACTTTAAAAATTGTTACATCCAAGAATTTTTTAAAAAATTGTTACATCCGCATACAATGGGAACCTGTGTGAAATGGATACCGTTGTTCTACAGTTGTATGGAAAGGTGTTCAGGACATGCCATACTGGTAACAGAACAGAACGGAAGTCAAAACAGCATGTATAACGTGAGCCCATTTTTGTCACCCAGGTGTGTTTATGTTAACGTTTGGAGACATTTGCCCAAAATGTTAACGGCCCCTGTTTCTTGGTGCGGGGGTTGGTGGCAGGTGATTAGTACTTTCTTCTCTCTACCTTCTGTATTTTATACATTTACAAAGGTCATGATGATGTTAATACTTAGAAAGGTTCTAATAAAGCTAATTTCATCTGAGAATGTATGTGTGGGTGTATGGGGTTAACTGGTTATTCTCTAATTTCACCTGGCCCTCCACAGAGTTCTGCCTCCTGCAGAGAATTCTCCCAGCCAAGGATCCTTTTGTCCTGGCCTGAGTGTATTTCAGAGCTGCTAGAAGGCCATGTCATTATCAACCAGCCAGTGGGTCAGAAGAATCTTCAATTCCAACAGCTCCAGCCAAATAAACAGAAATTCCTTCCAAAGGTCCTTTGGGGGCCTTCTGGAACCTCCTATCAGTATGATCAGTGAACTTTGGACTTCAGAGTAGTTTCTCACTGTCCCTGTGATCAACAGACTGAGTAAGCCCTACACCTCTGTGGGACTACGTGCACATCCCCGCCGCTCTTTGGGCCTCACTTTACCCAACTGTAAAATGGGCAGATTCAACCAGCTCAGTGTTTCTCAACATTTTCTTGTTTGTTTGGCCACGCTGCGTGGCATGTGGGATCTTCCCGGACCAGGGATCAAACCTGTGCTCCCTGCAGTGGAAGCACGGAGTCTTAACCACTGGACCACCAGGGAAGTCCTCCTTTTTTCAAAACAAAACGAAACTCATGCTCCCTTCTGATAAAGATAAAAATCTCACATGCCTCCTAGGGAATATCTTCTATTCATTCCAAGAGCCAAGAATATTCTGTGAAACTTTACTTTCTATAGATTGGATCATGGAAACAATGGGTGTCACTCCACTTCACTTTCCCATATTAGATACTGTACTGAATTTGCTTTTTACACACAGCACAGGACTCTGAAGCCAAGGCCCACCTCCGGCTCTGAGGTGTGGGAGTCCTGGGTGCCTGGAACCCTTCTCAACTCTCAGTAAAGCTCTCTAGGATGGTGGCTGAGTGTTCCACCTCTGGACACAGACTGCCGGGGTGAGGGTTGCCAGATATAACACAGGGTGTCCTGTATTTTTATTTGCTAGATCTGGGAACCCTAACCTGGCTTCAATTTTGGGCTTGTGAGCCATATTATTATGGACAAGTTCTCTCTTTTTCTCTTTCTCTCTCTCCTTCCCTCCCCCTCCCCCTTCCTCCCTCCCTCCCTTCCTTCCTTCCTTCCTTCCTTCCCTTCTTCTTTCTTTCCTTCTCCTTTCTCCCCCTCCCCCCCACCACTCTTTCTTTCTAATTTTGTCAATCCATTCATCTTAATCTTAAATATGCAGCTTGATGGCTTTTCACATAGGCATACACTCCTGTTACCACCACCCAGATTAAGGGACATATTTCTAACATCCCAGAAAATGTCCTTGTGCCCCAGAGGTAATCATTCTTCCCATATCCTTTATCACCATCAATTAGTTTCACCTCTCCTTGGATTTCACATCTGTAGAAGCACACAGTATGCGCTCTTCCCTGCCTGGCTTCTTCCACTCAGTGTAGTGATTGTGAGATTCACCCAGTTATTGTGTGTAGCAGTATTTAAGTTTTGCTTTGCTGTATAATATTCCATGGCATGAACTGTCTGAAAACACAGTTTGTTTATGCATTCTGATAGACATTTTGGTTATTTCCACTTTGGGACTATGAATGTTCTTGTACAAGCCTTTTGGTTGGCGGATGTCTTTACTTCTCTTGGGTACGTACATAAAAGTAGGGTTGCTGGGTTATAGGATGGACATATTTTTAGCTATAGTGGATACTGGGAGCAAGTTTTTTAATTCCAACTATGAAGAGAGAGTTAATAATAACGGCACCTACTATTACGGCTGCTGCCAGATTGAATGAGATAATCCAGGTAAGGTATTTAGAACTGGCACACTGAAATTCACAAAACACAAATCATTGCTAGAATGGGAATGGGAATAAAGTTATCTGGCTAACTTTTGTTAACTTTTAAATGTTCCCATAATGAATTAGAGGCACAAGGAATTTCCCTAAGGTTGTGGGATATAAAAGTGACACATGACTATTGTAAAAAAAAAATTCAAATGAAATGGAAGCATATAAGTAAAAGGTGGAGTTCACCCCATTTTTTTATTATTAGAGAAAAGAGTATGCACTAGTATTTTGCATGCATTTTCTTATGTCATCTGCACGTTTTTATTTGATAATGCCGAAGGTAAGGGGTTACAGGCTGGACCTTCAAAGCTGACCCAAAGGATGCTTCACCCGGGGCTGGTTGGTCCCTCTCTCTGGGCCTCAGTCTCCCCATCCATACGGTGAGAAGCCTGATGCTCTCTGAGCTCTAATAATCACTGCTCCATGTCTAGCTCTGGCAGAGGAGGGACCTGGCGTCCAGCCATTCGTGTCTCTGGGATACAGGAGCAAAGAACGACACATCTTTACAGCCCAAACAGGCATCGCCTTGAATCTCTCCTTGGCCTCATCCACCCAGGATCCCAGAATGGCATTAGGCTGGCTGGCTGGCCCTAGGAGTCCCTGTCCTATACCTCTGTCCTCACCTCAGGGGCTGCCAGGCTGACCACCCCCACTGTGCAGACTCCCCTCCCCCAGGGTGGCAGCAAGAAGAGGGAAGAAAGAGGATCGTCTCCAGCTGGCCCGGGAGACAAACCTCCTTGTGCCCATCAGCCCTCCAAGAACCCCCATCCATCCTCCCTCCCTCCCCAAAGGCCTGTCCACGGGGACTTAGGATCAGCCAGAAAAGTCAGGCAACTTTTCAGGGACCGGAGCGAGGGGAGGTGAGGTCTCCCAGCCTGGCCCAGGTCCAGCCCCTGAGAGCAGCGTGGTGCCCAGCCCCACCCCTTGCTGTGCCCTGTCTGTAACTTCAGACTTTGACCCTGAGCTCCAGTCCCAGCTGAGGACAGGACGCCCCAGCCTCGGGAGCCTCCCTTTAGGAGATAGGACCCTGCACCCGTAGCAGCTGCCTCTTTTCTCCAGAAATTTGGCACGCCAGGTGAGTGGGGGCAGGGGTGGTGGCGCAGCAGATCTGAGTGTCCTCCCAGTGTCGGCAGAGAAGGTCCATGTTAGAGCCTGACGCAAGTGACAACCTTGCAGGGACCACAGGTAAGTGCCTTCACCTCTCCAAGCCTCAGTTGCCTCATCTGGAAGATAAGGGTCATAACTCACCTCTTCCAGGGTTAATCTGAGTATGAAAAGAGGTGAGGACTATAGGGGCTTAGCACAGAACTGGCACATAGCAAGTACTCAATAAATGGTCATTGTTACTGTCTGGGGGGCTGGGAGCTGGTAGCCTGGTTTTCCATTTTAAAGATAAACTCTGAAGCTTCATAGGGGTTAGCCACACGGAGCTGATTACGTTCATTCAAATACCTCACCCGTGACTTGTTCATTTTTTTTAAAAAAGCAAGTCTTTCCTATTTTTTGCACATGTAGCCATCAAAGGCATGAGCTGCTTCAAGGTTCGCTCTCGGGACAAGGGAAGTTATAAGCAAACAAATACAAGACTGAAAAGTAAGCGGAAGGTGTCAGCCGCCAATTTCTTGCCGGCCGCCTAAAGAGCTCTATGGCGCAGCACGGAAAAGCTCAGATAGAACTGGGTCCAGATCCGAACGCTGTCCCACACTGGCTGTGTGACTTCGGGGGAGTGACTTCCTCTCCCGGAACCTCAGTCCTGCGTCCCTAGAACTTCTTAGAGCAGTTGAGAGGATAAAGTAAGAGGATGTCTGTACTGCATCTATATGTGTCGGGCAAGTGGCAGGCGGCCAAAATTCCCTTCCTACTCCACAAATACATAGACGTTACAATTACACACACACAAGCACACGTAATAACCCCAGCTGTTTGCATCTTCCTGAATGCACACTCCAAGCACGCTTGTTTGAAGTAATGGCATAAAGCAGAAAAGTGCAACACTAATAAAAACGTCAGCAACAGCAAGAAAATGGTTGAACGATAACAGAGCTGTGTGCAGACGAGTCCAGGAGTTCATTACCCACATGCATGAATGATTTTACCCGAGGCTGGGTCTGTCAGATCCTACAGTGTGACTGCCAATTCTGATAAGAACCTTATGCATTTATATTCCAGTTAAATGCATGCACACACACATGGTTGCTACAATCAGTATCAAATCTGATTCATTTATTTAACTAAGATAATTGACTTAGGACACACATTTTCCCTTTTCAATTCTATGCCTACCACCAACACAATAAAATTCCTGTGCTCGTTGTATTTCGTGTTTTTTTTCAACGCAGGACTCGGAAGCCTTGACTGTTTTTCTTCACCTGCTTGACTTGATGGTTTTTCAAATTGTGGGATTAGCACGGGGTGTAAGCACACAGCCTTGAGAGTCAGCCGGCCTGGGCTCTGCTTCTCACCAGCTGGTGCCTAAGCCTCAGATGCCTCATCTGTAAAATGGGCAGAAGGACAACCCTGAGGGTTGTTAGAAGATTAAAGTAGATAACGCACGTCAATTTCTTTTTATTTATTTATTTATTTATTCTTGGCTGCGTTGGGTCTTCATTGCTGCGCACGGGCTTTCTCTAGTTGCGGCGAGCGGGGGCTACTCTTTGTTGTGGTGCACGGGCTTCCCATTGTGGTGGCTTCTCTTGTTGTGGAGCACGGGCTGGCTCTAGGCGCGAGGGCTTCAGTAGTTGTGGCACACGGGCTCAGTACTTGTGGCTCACGGGCTTAGTTGCTCCTCGGCATGTGGGATCTTCCCGAACCAGGGCTCAAACCCACGTCCCCTGCATTGGCAGACAGATTCCTAACCACTGTGCCACCAGGGAAGTCCCACATGTCAAGTTCTTAGCACAACGAGTAACACATCATTGTGTTACTAGAAGTCGAAAAGCTAGCCGCTGCTATTGTAATCTCCCCATGGCCAGGTCTTTTCTTTCACGGAGACTTTTAAACCCCAAGACTCTACAGAGTTTTTGCAAACATGTGACTTTGACTGAGTGGCTCCCCTTCTGTGAACCTCAGTTTCCCCTTCTGCACGATGCCATCTTGCTTATCTTTAGAATTTTAGACATTGGAGAAACTGAGCCCTATGCTGTTACCCGTCCCTCTTTGTCTTGGCCAGTTGGTTCTAGAAGTTGCTCTGGGTCCCCCCGTCATGATCTTCTCTTGGGCATGTGCCACCATCTCTAACCAGAGGCTTTGCCACAGCCTTGTTATTGGAGACGTGCCATGTGATGGCTTCGGTCTGAAGTCTCTTTCTCCCTGCTCAGAAACCTCTCGCTCAGTCAAGTGAAGTGACTTACCCAGGATCACACAGCTGGTGTGTGCCAGAGCCAGGCTGTCTAACCCCCAGCCTGGGCTGTTACTGCCACCTCTCCAAGCCACACCGCCTCCTGGGTTCATTATGGGGAATTTGGAAAATACAGGAAAACCCTCTATTCCTGCCTTCTTACTGTCAATGTCAAAAGTGGTCAAGGGCTTCCCTGGTGGCGCAGTGGTTGAGAGTCCGCCTGCCGATGCAGGAGACACGGGTTCATGCCCCGGTCCGGGAAGATCCCACATGCCGCGGAGTGGCTGGGCCCGTGAGCCATGGCCGCTGAGCCTGCGCTTCCGGAGCCTGTGCTCCGCAACAGGAGAGGCCACAACAGTGAGAGGCCCGCGTACCACACACACACACACAAAAAAAAGTGGTCAAATTTCCAGAGGATATGCAGAGACAGAAAGCCCAGAGAAGGGAAGTAACTTGGCCAAGGTCACACAGCAAGCCGGCAGTGAAGCCAGGTCTGACTCTCCCTCCTTCCTCTCCCCTCCTCCACAGCCAGTGTTTTTCCCATTGTTATTTTCAAGGTGCTAGGGGACAGAAGGAGGCCACCACAGATTGAGGCCAGGCCCTGTACCAGGAACTTTGACCAGGCTAGTCATTTAACCTTCAGGCTGACCCCATGAGATGGGGTTAACCCTATTTCACATCTGAGGAGATTGCATCTCCTGAGGCAAAGGATGGGGGAGGAGGCGAGGGGTCTCTGAGAGGGTCCCCCTGCAACTAAGCCCAGGCTCGAGTCTGGAAGCAGAATCACCCAGAGGAACGAGGCTTTTCCGCTTTTTGGTTTTATCTCCAACTTGGCTGCTGAAACCCCAACAGAGTCCAGTTCTTGTGGGCTGGAGCCATTTTCCCCTTTACAAAACTAGGACATATTGAGAATGTCCTGCCGTTCAGGGCCATGGGCCGCAGTTGCCAGGAGGCGAGGTCTGTGGGAGGAGAGCTGTGAGCAGAGAGGAGGGAAAGTTGAATTTGGCTCTTCCGGGCACAAAAAGTCCCCTTGTTCTGCCTTAGCAGGAGCCTGCACAATATTTCCCTGCTGTGCAGTCCCAAGCAGCTTCAAGGTCAAAAGCTGGTAGGTCTTCTAAACTTCTGAGGACCCAGCCAGCCAAGCACCCCAAGGCAGGCCTGGAGGGGATGTGCTGAAGATCTGAGCTCTGAGGCCAGACATTGCATCTGACTTGCTCACAGCTGCATCCACTAGCGGCCAGCTTAGCACACACTAGGTGTGCAGTGTGTATCAAGTTTACCTGAATTAAAATTAAATCCTGGCAGCACCATTTACTGGCTGTGTGACTTCAGGTAAGTTACTCCACCTCTTTGCGCCTTCGTTTCCTCATCTGTAGAATGGGGCCAATAACACCAGCACCTACTTTCTAAGAATGTGAGAGACTTAGACGAAATGACGCTTGGTAAGCGCTTAGTGCAGGGGCTGGCACACAGTAGGTGCTCCGCAAATGTCAGGAAGTCACTTCTTCTGCACTAGACACTGTGTTAAGCTTTTTACGTTTGCCATCTTGTGGAAAACTCCCATCTACTCTCCGGGGCATGAGTTATTTTTCTCATTTTCCAGAAGAAGAATTTGAGGCTTGAGAAGCATCTTGGCCAAAGTCATGGCCAGCAGGGAGCAGAGCTGAGATCTGAGATTTGAAGCCCATTGTCCTAACCATTAGACTAACCAGACTACAGCTGGCCAGGCACGCTGCTGGGCCCTTTTTTTTCCCCAGCCTGGGGACAGGGTATTCGAGGAGAGTCCCCAGAGAAAGCTGCATCACTTACTGGCTGTGTGACCTTAGGCAAGTTGCTTTGCCTCTCTGTGCCTCAATTTTCCCATGTGTAAGGGCCACTGAGGGAATCAAGTATAAAAAGGGCTGGGCGGTGTCTGGCATCTTCTAAGCCGTCAGTGGATGGTAGCGATGGTGGTGCTGGCATGCCTCAACCCTGACTTCCCCCCGCAGGCTGGCACGATGCGCGTGGTAGTGATCGGAGCGGGCGTCATCGGGCTGTCCACCGCCCTCTGCATCCATGAGCGCTACCACTCGGTCCTGCAGTCGCTGGACGTGAAGGTCTACGCAGAACGTTTCACCCCGCTCACCAACACTGATGTGGCTGCTGGCCTCTGGCAGCCCTACCTCTCCAAGCCCAGCAACCCACAGGAGGCGTGAGTGAGGGTCCCAGAGGGTGGCCTGGGGCCAGAGGGGCTGAGTCTGCAGAGAGGATGTTCCCTCTCAGGGTTCCAATCACCAATTACAACCTTTTGTGGAGGCTCTGGCCTGACATGCTACAAAGACAATACGCATAAATACTGTCCCTGCTGTGGGCCAGACAGATGCTATACTTGATCGTGGCCAAAAGGCTGAGAAGCCATGTGTGCCAGATAGATGGAGACTTTGTCTCCATCCCTCACCTAAACTGGGTGGCTGGGATGCTCAATGCATCTGTCCATCAGGAATGCCTCTAAGTGGGTGGATGGATGTTCAAGTTTAGCAAAGTGGCAGAGGTCATTGTCAGTTTAGAAACCACCAGCTGCTTCAACAAAGGAACCCTCAAATGAGTAACGGCTCAAACAGAAGTTTCATTCTCATGCCCATAAATTCCAAAACCAGTATTCCTGATCAGTAGGTGGCAATTCAGGGGCCCGGGCTCCTTCCATCTCATGGCTCTGCCATCCTCCTTGTGGCTTCCGATGTTGCCACGGGCCAGTGCCTGTAGAAGGAGCACAGCATGAGGACCACCTGGGAGGAGACGTTAGGGTCAGTTGGCAAGAACGCAGCCACATGGTCACACCTATCTTCAAGGGAGTCTAGGAAATGTTGTTGAGCTGTGTGCCCAGGGAGGGGAGAGAAAGTGTTCAGAAGAGTAAGTGATGCCTGCCACTGGCATTTACAGTGGGGGGTGCCCAGAGTGAGCCTGAACCACGGTGTTCACAGTCCCCAAAGCAGTCAAAGCTTTCATTTAAACTCGCAGCTATGTGATCCCAAGCCAGAGGTAGGCTCCAAATAGTTATGATGGAGCATCCTTTTTTTTTGTTTATTTGAAGTATAGTTGATTTACAATGTTAATTTCTGCTGTACAGCGAAGTGATTCAGTTATACATATATCTACATTCTTTTTTCATATTCTTTTCCATTATGGTTTATCATAGGGTATTGAATACAGTTCTCTGTGCTGTACAGTAGGACCTTGCTGTTTATCCATTCTCTATACAATAGCTTACATCTGCTATCCCCAACCTTCCACTCCATCCTTCCCCCAACCAACCCCCTCCCCCTTGGCAACCACAAGACTGTTCTCTATGTTGATGGAGCATTCTTTGTTACCCCTCTCCTCTATCCTATTAACGGGAAAATATTAGAAAGTTTGGGGAGGGGGAAGACCCGTAGCATTTGGGGCACTGCAGAGTGAACGTGGTGGATTTCTAGATCTGGACACATCCCACTAACCTGATCACAGCCCCATGCAAGCCAACCCTTGGAGCTTTCATTAGGTGACTGAGATCTGGGGGATCCTTCTAGGCGCTGGAACCAGCAGACCTTCAACTATCTCCTGAGCCACATTGGTTCTCCCAATGCTGCAGACATGGGCCTGGCCCCAGTCTCAGGCTACAACCTCTTCCGTGAAGCCGTTCCGGTGAGTGAGGAGTCCCTGACCATAAACCATAGGGCAGAGCCTTGATCAGAGACCAGGGGGTGGGGGGTGGTGGTACTTTGAGTCTCTTAGGCAAAGTCTCCTGTGTTCAAAACAGGTTTACTTTAATTTCTATTTTTGCTTTCAAAATCATTTTCATTTTCAACTTTGTTATTAAATTGGCAGAGACCAAAGAATCTTCTGATGAACCAGGGAAACTAGCCCTTCTTGAGTGGTATGGAGTGGGAGGCACTTGACGCTGAAGCCAAAAGGTTTCCTGCTCCCCTGGAGGTTCCAGGACTTTCCATCAAGATGGACTAAAACATTCACCCTGGCACAGACTTCTAAAGTACTTACTATGTGCCAGGCCCTGTCCTAACCACTTTATAACTAATGACTCATTAAATTTTCATCATAACCAGGAATTTAAGTGCTATCATGGTCCTCATTTTGCAGATGAGAAACTAGAGGCTCCAAGAATTGGGGTAACTTACTTGAGCTCACAAAGCTTTAAGTGGCAAAGCTCGAATTTGAACCCAGCTCGAATGAAAGGCAAAGCCATGGGGGATGTTCTCAGGTTGTTTGGAGAGGGTGGTCTGGCTGGGTGCCCAGAATCCCATGCCAGTTCTCCCAGGTTTATTCAATGTCTAGCACTGTGCTAAGGGCATTACTTTCATTAATCTGTTACCTTCCAAGAGTGATTATTAACTCCATTATACAGATAAGAAAACTGAGTCTCAGAGAATTCAAAGTGGTCAGTGGTGAGGCCAAAATCTCCCCCCAGGTTGTCTGGCCCTCCACTCTGCTACCTCCCACTCTCATCCTTTGGTGACCTTCACTGTCGCCCCTTTTTTTCTCCCCTATTTATGACCCTTACCCTATCACTCATCCTCAGCCTTATTCTTACCCTTCATATAGCATCATGGTTAAGAACATGGACTCTGAAGCCAAACTGTGTGGGTTCGAATCTCAGCTCCACCATTTATTAGCTGTGTGACCTTAGACAAGTTACTTAGCCTCTCTGAGCCTCAATGGGCCCATCTGCAAAATGGAACTAAAAATAGTATCTACCTCAATGGGTTATTGTAAAGATTATTGGATTGGTATGAGTAAAATGCTTGGAACAGCGCCTTACACACAGAAAACATTATATAAGATTTTGTTATTATCATTCTTATTGATGTTCATCCATCCCTGTGCCACCTTCTCTTCTTCTAAAGGACCCTTACTGGAAGGATGTAGTTCTGGGATTTCGGAAGCTGACTCCGAGAGAGCTGGACATGTTTCCCGATTACAGGTAAGGTTACTGCCATGGGTGAAGGAGCTGAGGCCCCACAGTTCAGATAGACTTGTCCAAAAGATGGAGGCACCAAATTTCCTGTTCCATCCCTGGTCTACAGCCCCATACTCTGGTCTCCCAGTGCTCTGTCCAGCTCTTTCAGAGAGCCCACCCACCCAAACTGCACCTTAGACTAGGGAGGTAGGGGATACGGAATCATAGATCTCAAGCCCCGAAGTTCCATAACACTATCCTATTTTGTAGATGAGGAAACTGAGCTTCAGAGAGGCCAAGTCACTTCCCCAGGTCACACAGCTAAGTGACCAGAATGGGATTCCAACCCAGTCCAAACCCCTCTATTCTTTTCACTATAGCCTGATGCCTCTCTGGTCCTCTCTTCACCTCACCCCATGTCTAAACCCTCTCTACAGATGCACATTGATCTCCACTTGCACACCCCAATGTCAGGAATGGCTTCGTCTGATAGAAAATATTCCCTTGCTTTGAGCTGAAAACCACTTCCTCCTTGAATGTCACCCAGTGGTCCTTGCTCCACCCTTTGGGGGCCCAAAGAATGTGACAGCTCCCACCTCCATATGATAGCCTTCAAATAGAGCTGTGATTCTGATCTTTTATTCCCACCTTTTGCCTCCTGTGACTCTAGCTATGGCTGGTTCAACACAAGCCTGATTCTGGAGGGAAGGAAGTATCTGCAGTGGCTGACCGAAAGGTGAGATTTTCGGCTTCACTTTGAGGAAAGCACCTCCCAGGGACCAGGGTTGTAGTAGATGATTGTTCGTGGGATTTGCCTTTATATTGACCAACGCCAAATGTTGATGAAAACCTTTAGGTTTAGTGGGAGCTATCCTTGTTCCTGACCGCCTCTGTGCACTAAGACAGTGGCCTCCACACCTTGTTGGAACCACCTGGGAAGCTTTTTACATGTGATACAGTATTTATTATCAGCCTTACTAAAATCTGTGATGGCTGTGTAATAGCTTTAAATAGATTCTCTTAAGTTTTCCAGATATATTTACATCATCTACAAAACATAAGTTGGTTTTTTTTTTTAATTTTTAACATTTTAATTAATTAATTAATTTATTGGCTGCATTGGGTCTTCGTTGCTGCGCGTGGGCTTTCTCTAGCTGCGGTGAGCAGGGACTACTCTTCATTGCATTGCACAGGCTTCTCATTGTGGCTGCTTCTCTTGTTGCAGAGCACGGGCTCTAGGCACGTAGGCTTCAGTAGCTGTGGCACGCAGGCTCAGTAGTTGTGGCTCACGGGCTTAGTTGTTCTGCAGCATGTGGGATCTTCCCAGACCAGGGCTCGAACCCGTGTCCCCTGCATTGGCAGGAGGATTCTTAACCACTGCGCCACCAGGGAAGTCCAGTTTTTATTTTTATACCTCATTTTTTTTTCTTGTCTAATTGCTGTACCTCTAGAATAACACTAACTAATACAGATGATAGAGGATGTCCCTGTCTTGTTCCTTATGTTGATAGGAATCTTGTAGTGTTCTAAGTTAGCAAACATTAGCTTGAGAGATACAATTTGTACTCATATTCACATAGATTCATATTAAGGAAGATTCCATATATTTCCTATATATTAGTATTTTATTAAGATTTTTAAAAAACTGGAATGGATGGTGGCTTTTATCAAATGACTTGGGGAGGTTTTTAAAAATATAGATTTCAGGACCTCACTTTATATCTACTGAATCAGATTCTCTGGAGTGGGGCTCAGAAATCTGTATTGTAAGAAGTTCCCTGAGTGATTGTAATTATCAGCCAGGTTTGGAAACCACTGTATTAAAACATGGTTATGTCTCCTAACCTTGGGACACTTATGACTCTTATCCAGCCCCTTCCAGGAAAGAACGCTCCCAGTTTTTCTATCTTGAGGAAACCACGTGGATAAAATAATCCTGATATTATGCGTTAGCTTGCATGTGGTTTACTTCCTATTCTTTTAATGTTTCTACTATATTTCTAAATAGGGACATACATTTTTTCTCTGTGAAATTTAGGGAGGGGTGGGTGTCCCCAGCCCACCTCCTTCCTCATGCTCTGCTTCAGATAAAGAAGCAATTGGGCTTTGTCCCAACCCTGCCCCTCCTCCACCCTGCATCTCATTCCCTTTGATAATACAAAGCAGGGTGGTGGCAGTAAGAGGCCTGGGTTTGAGTCCTAATCCCATCATAGACTCGCTGTATGACTTTCAGCAAGGCCCTTCTCCCATCTCCATCTGCCCAACGTGGGGCTTGGACCATCTCAGCTTTCCCAAGGGACATTTCGTGGCCCACTAGTCCATCAAGGTGCTCATGAACTGGACTGCACAGCCATATTCTCAAGGAGCATCCCGTGGGACTAACACCCACAAAAGGTTCTTTGGGAAATGTCCCCCACGCCATCCTCTTGCAGGGATGGGACAGAGAACTGAATACTGGATTTTCTTTTATGTGTTTGATCATCCCAGGTTAACTGAGAGAGGAGTGAAATTCCTCCTAAGGAAGGTGGAGTCTTTTGAGGAGGTGAGCTGCCGGGCTGGAAGGGGCTGGATGTGGGAGAGAGGAGAAGAGGGGAGGCCTTTGCTTCCTGTTGCAGGGTTGGGGGGCCCCTTCTCAGGCTCCTAGCATCCCTTTGAGGTCTGTCCCAGATTCTAGGTCTATTTTTAATCCCAGAAGGACTCAGGCATTCTGCCTTGATGTTGGTGTCAGAAGCAAAGGGGCAGTGGGATCATGGTGGCCATTGGGGGCTATATCTATATCTGAGCCTCAGTGAGCTTTAGGGCCAGAGAGCTGGCTGCCTCTTCTCAATAACAGCTGTACCACACCCCCAAGTTCCAGATGCTTGGTTGCTTCTTACCAACATCTGAGATGATGTTCCTACAAAGTCAAGGCCCTCCACTGACTTACCTCCAGAGTGATACCACCATCAATAATAATGACAGTAGCAGCTGCCATCAGCAGGTACTGGCAACGCACCAGGGGCTTTGCTGTGTGACCTCACTCAACCTCAGTACCCAGAACAGTGCTTGGCACATGGAAGACTCTTGTACTTGCAGCCACTAACGTGTTCGAGCATCTGCTCTAGGTCAAGCCCTGAGGGGCACTTGGAATACATACTTGACTTAGACACAGCTCTCAATCCCAAGGGGCTCACAGCCCAGTGTGGCAAACACTGGTTCATGAAAAACAGCAGTGTGACCCAGGACTGACCTGTGAGGGGAGTCACTGGGGTTGGGCTGGGAGTTTGGGTGCCCATGATGCTACATCCTTGAGCTGTGGAGCTTCCCATACAATGCACGGAGCTGGGGCTTCCAATGTGCCTTCCTCAGATGTCTTGGCAGAGCAGAAGACAAGAGAATGAAATAAAAAGGAGTCAGAAGGAGGGAGAAGACTATCTCTGTGTCCTTTCTGACTTCTTCTAGAAGGTTCCAAGAAGGTTTCCCCCTTCCGTAGTATTCTTTTCCAAACACTTTTATAGGCAGAGTCATACAGCACACTATGAGCAGATGTTACCGGCCCCATTTTATAGTTAAGGAATCTGATCTGAAACTTGAGGAGGTGATGGGACATTTCTGAGGTCACACAGTACGTAAATGGCAGAGCGGAATTTGGAGGCAGGTCCATGGGTTCCTCACTGAGTCCCCTCCTGGCTGTTCCACAGGGAGCAGAGAGTTGCAGGCTGGGAGGATGCAAGGGATACTAAGGTCCTCATCCCCTTCCATCCCACCTGCCCTGTTGGTTGCTACCAGGTGGCAAGAGGAGACGCTGATGTGATTATCAACTGCACTGGGGTATGGGCTGGGGCTTTGCAACCAGATCCCCTGCTGCAGCCAGGCCGGGGGCAGATCATTAAGGTGAGTCTGAAGGTGAGGGATGAGCTTTTGTTGACAGAAAGATTGTTTCTGCCTCTTTATTTCATCTCCAAAGATAGAGGCTGAATCGGGGGACATCTGTTAGAGGAACCCCCCAGTGTTCAGGGAATTTGCATGTTAAAGAAACAAGAAGAACCAACACGACCCTCCCAAACATACTTCTTGGGCGGGGTTCTTCTTAATAGTAAAGTGTGTGTGTGTGTGTGTGTGTGTGTGTGTGTGTGTGTGTGTTTGTCTGTCTATATGTGGAAGCTGCATATGCCTGCCATAATAAAAAGAGCAAACATTTATGGAATGCCTACTAAGTGCCAGACACAGACCCAAGTACTTCATTGTGTTAATTAATTTGATCCTCGCTGCAACCCTTTGAGATGGGTTCTATCACATCACCATCGCCATCTTACAGATGGGGAAACTGAGGCACGGAGGAATTAAGTAACTTGCACAAGTTCACATCACAGTAAGTGATGGAACTGGGATTACAACAGGTAACCTGGTTTAAGAGCCCAGGTGTGTAAGCATTGTCCCACACCACCTCTCACTGTGTATGTGTGCATGTGTCTGAGGCATGCCTATTTGTGGGTATGTGTGCATGTGTGTGCCCATGTGAATACTGGAGTGCATTCATAGGTATGTGTGTTCCCGAGGTGGGCTAATGTATACGTGCATTTACACGTGTGTTGGGCTTTTCTGTGGATGAGAATGTGTGATGCTTCAGGGACTGGGGTGGCTCTCAATCAGGGCAGCTCTTCCCACAAAAGCAAGCAGTCTGGTGCAGACTTGGGACAGAGGGGTCATTGAGGGCTAAGGAATGACTTTGCCACTGTTGTCAGAACATCTGGTCATAGAGGGGAGCAGGCGATGGGAGCCCACTGATTTAACTCTTCTGATGAGACTTCTCTGTCTTCAATCAACAGGTGGATGCCCCATGGATGAAGCACTTCATTATCACCCATGACCCAGAGAGAGGCATCTATAAGTCCCCGTACATCATCCCAGGGTAAAAATCTGATATTGTAGGGCAGAAGAGGGAGCACCTTCCTGCTCTTTTTATGCCCCCGCTGCCTGCTCCAGGGCTCTTTCTTCTTTTCAGGTTTCTTCCTCCAATGCTTTTAAGTGAGGTTGAGCCATTAAACCTCTGGGAAGGCAGGTCTCAGCCTTAACCGCCACATCGCGCGGCTTGTGGGATCCCCGACCAGGGATCGAACCCAGCGCCTCGGTAGTGAAAGTGCAGAGTCCTAACCACTGGACCACCAGGGAGTTCCCCTGGGCTCCTGGCTTCTATCTTGAACATGATCTGGGATGACAGTAGTGGTGATGCTGGAGACAAAGGTAGTGGACGTGATGGCAGTGACACCAGCAGTGTTGTGAATGGCAATAATGGTGGTGGTGACGGGGTTGATGAGGATAATGTGGATAGAGGAATGGTGGTAGTGGAGATAGTATTGTTACAGCAGAGGAGATCAGTGTTGATGGTGGTGGTGAGTGGGAGTTGGGGGTGGCAGCTGGTGCTGATGAAGATGACACTTACCAATGATGACTTTTAATAATATGGCAGAGATGACAGTCTCAAAGGCCATGTTAATGTTGTGACTGTGCTGACTGCCTCAATGGCGATGTTAGTGGTGTGGCGGAGATGACGGTATCAATGGCAATGCTAATGGTGGTGGTGGAAGTAGTGAATGGGATTGATCGTGATGTATTAATGGTAGCAAAGAAGGCAGTAGTGAAGATGATGTTGTTGATGGAGATGACAATGTTTTTCCCAGATTTATTGAGATATAATTGACATAGAACATTGTGTACATTTAAAATGTACAACATGATGATTTGATATATGTATATATTGTGAAATGATTATCACAATAAGGTTAGTTAATGCATCCATCAACTCACATAACTATAGTTTTTTTGTGGGTGTGGTGAGAACATTAAAGATCTACTCTCTTAGCAACTTTCAAGTATATAATACAGTATTGTTAACTATCGTTACTATGCTGTACATTAGAAGGGATAACAATGATGACAGTGATGTTAATGGTGATGGTGGAGGTGGTGAAGTTTGATGGTAATGACAATGGCAATTGCAGTGATTTTTCTTTGAATTTTATTTTTTTTATACAGCAGGTTCTTATTAGTTATCTATTTTATACATATTAGTGTATATATGTCAATCCCAATCTCCCAATTCATCCCCCCCCCACCACCTCCGATTTCCCCCCTTGGTGTCCATAGGTTTGTTCTCTATATCTGTGTCTCTATTTCTGCCTTGCAAACCGGTTCATCTGTAGCATTTTTCTAGATTTCACATGTATGCGTTAATACATGATATTTGTTTTTCTTTCTGACTTACTTCACTCTGTATGACAGTCTCTAGGTCCATCCACGTCTCTACAAATGACCCAATTTTATTCCTTTTTATGGCTGAGTAATATTCCATTGTATATATGTGACACATCTTCTTTATCCATTCGTCTGTCGATGGGCATTTTGGTTGCTTCCATGACCTGGCTATTGTAAATAGTGCTGCAATGAACATTGGGGTGCATGTGTCTTTTTGAATTATGGTTTTCTCTGGGTATATGCCCAGCAGTGGGATTGCTGGGTCATATGGTAATTCTATGTTTAGTTTTTTAAGGAACCTCCATACTGTTCCCCATAGTGGCTGTATCAATTTACATTCCCACCAACAGTCAAGAGGGTTCCCTTTTCTACACACCCTCTCCAGCATTTGTTGTTTGTACATTTTCTGATGATGCCCATTCTAACCAGTGTGAGGTGATACCTCATTGTAGTTTGGATTTGCATTCCTCTAATAATTAGTGATGTTGAGCAGCTTTTCATGTGCCTCTTGGCCATCTGTATGTCTTCTTTGGAGAAATGTCTATTTAGGTCTTCTGCCCATTTTTGGCTTGGGTTGTTTGTTTTTTTAATATTGAGGTGCATGAGCTGTTTATATATTTTGGAGATTAATCCTTTGTCCGTTGATTTGTTTGCAAATATTTTCTCCCATTCTGAGGGTTGTCTTTTCGTCTTGTTTATAGTTTCCTTTGCGGTTTATAGTTTGCTTTTGCTTAAAAGCAAAAGCTTTTAAGTTTCATGAGGTCCCATTTGTTTATTTTTGTTTTTATTTCCATTATTCTAGGAGGTGGGTCAAAAAAGATCTTGCTGTGATTTATGTCAAAGAGTGCTCTTCCTATGTTTTCCTCTAAGAGTTTTACAGTGTCCAGTCTTACATTTAGGTCTTTAATCCATTTTGAGTTTATTTTTGTGTATGGTGTTACGGAGTGTTCTAATTTCATTCTTTTACATGTAGCTGTCCAGTTTTCCCAGCACCACTTACTGAAGAGACTGTCTTTTCTCCATTGTATATCCTTGCCTCCTTTGTCAGAGATTAGTTGACCATAGATGCATGGCTTTATCTCTGGGCTTTCTATCCTGCTCCACTGATCTATATTTCTGTTTTTGTGCCAGTACCATGTTGTCTTGACGACTGTAGCTTTGTAGTATAGTCTGAAGTCAGGGAGTCTGATTCCTCCAGCTCTGTTATTTTCCCTCAAGATTGCTTTGGCTATTCGGGGTCTTTTGTGTCTCCATACAAACTTTACGATTTTTTGTTCTAGTTCTGTAAAAAATGCCATTGTTAATTTGATAGGGATTGCATTGAATCTGTAGATTGCTTTGGGTAGTATAGTCATTTTCACAATATTGATTCTTGCAATCCAAGAACATGGTATATCTCTCCATCTGTTTGTGTCATCTTTGATTTCTTTCATCAGTGTCTTATAGTTTTCTGAATACAGGTCTTTTACCTCCTTACGTAGGTTTATTCCTAGGTATTTTATTCTTTTTGACGGTATTATGAGCAGAGATTATAATGTTTTTTAAGTTTATTTAATATTTTAATTTTTTTGGAGTATAGTTGATTTACAATATTGTGTTAGTTTCAGGTATACAGCAAAGTGATTCAGTTATACATATACATGTTCATTCTTTTTTAGATTCTTTTCTTATACAGGTTATTGCAGACTACTGAGTAGTCTGCAATAACCTATTGCTACACAATAGGTTACACATCCCTGTGCTACACAGTAGGTTCTTGTTAGTTATCTATCTTATATATAGTAGTGTGTGTGTGTTCATCCCAAGCTCCTGACTTATCACTCCCCGCTATGTTTCCCCTTTGGTAACCATAAGTTTGTTTTTGGCACCTGTGGGATGATAATGTTGAAGTTGATTTAGGCAAACATGGTGGTAAGGGTGAGCATGGCAAGGACCCTCCCCCCCCCCCCCCCCCGTTATCTCAAAGGCTTTGTTTTCCTTCATCCTTGACCCTGCCCACTTTTACCAAGGATCCAGGCAGTGACTCTTGGAGGCATCTTCCAGCTGGGGAACTGGAGTGAGACAAACAATATCCAGGACCACAACACCATTTGGGAAGGCTGCTGCAGACTGGAGCCCACACTGAAGGTAAGGTGGGGAGAGATATCAGTGCCCTAGACCGGGATCCTAGCAGCTTGATGATCAAAAGGACACTTGAAGATGGGAAGATATCATGACTGGGTAACTGGGCAAAATAATTCCAACACGGGATTCTGGATTATACCAGAATTGGACAATGTACAGGGAAGTCCTGCTTGGGTTGATGAAACCTATCTGGTCATGGCTAAGAGTTGTTCTCTCTTGAGGTGACATTCCTTAAACACCTTAGTCTGTCTTCACAAGGAGCAGATGTATTTGTTGCAGAAATCTCAGTCTTCACAACTGCCTGCTAGTGGTGATAGCCATAGTGATGGCGAAAAAGACAGGATGGAAGTAGTGGTTGGTGTTGATGGCGACGAAAACACTGAGAGTGGTGATAATGATGGTGATGAGGTGATATTATGGTGGTGGCTGGTGGGGACGGTGACTGATAAAGATGGGATAGTTGATAGAACTGGTGGTGAGATGGTAGTAGTATAGTAATGATGTTGGTGGCCGATAAAGGTGGTGATGATCTTATTGGTAATTAACAAAAGTGACTATGATAGTGCTGGTGGTGGTGATGGTAATGAAGTTCCAAAAGTTAACTCTCTATCACCTAAAAATGGCATCAGAAAAAAAAAAAAAATCCAGAGATGAATTACCAACAATTTTCTTTCCAGGATGCAAAAATTGTTAGTGAATGCACTGGCTTCCGGCCAGTACGCCCCCAGGTTCGACTAGAAAGAGAACAGCTTCATGTTGGATCTTCAAACACAGAGGTATGCTCTCCCGGCAAGGAAAGCAATGCCATCCCCCAACTCCTAAGAAGTCTCTGGCATTTTCGGGGGAACAGTCATGCTGACCTGAGGTGGGGGCAGTGGTGGCTAATATCCCCTCCTCTATAAATGGGGAAACTGAGGCTCAGTGATGGTAAAGGGCCTGCTCAAGTTTACATAGAGGGCAGTGCCTCCATTTGCTAGAGCCTGTGGTCGAAGAGAAGGAAAAGGGGACTTCATTGAGCATCTACTTTGTGTCCATGACACGAATGACCTAACTGAATCTCCCCTACAGCTCTTTGGGATAGGGACTGTTCACCCCATGCTTCAGATGAGCAAACTGGGGTTCCCAGAAGTGGAAGTCAACTTGCCTACATCAGACCAGTGGTGAGGGGCAAGGCTGGGATGTGGTTTGAATCTGAGTCCAGGGCCATTTCCCAGATGTACACGTTGTGGCTGCTCCATCATCTCTCTGGGTTCCCCTCTCGTGTCCTGTCTCATGGGGTAGGAATTGGCCTAATTGAAAAGGTAGGGGTTGTCCTGGGCTGAAGGAATCTAGGTCACCCTTCCTCCTTTATTCTGATCCTTTGGAGGTGGGGTGTATAGAAGAGTTTTGTGTATGTGTCATGTGTCCATAGAGGGTTGTGTGTCTGTAGAGAGGCCATATGTGTGTGTGTGTGTGTGTGTGTGTGTGTGTGTATGGCAGTGGGGTTGGGGGGAGAGTCACAGAGAGAGTTGAACTCCCTGCTGATGGTTTTAGCTTTGAAAACCCCCCCTAGCGTCTTGCCTCTCTCCAGGGTCCATCCATACAGTGCCCCTTCTTTTCTTTGGTGGGGAGAAGAGTCTACCTATTAACATCCTGTCTGGAGCAGGATGGGAACAAGGAAAGCGATTTAGGGAACTTCAAATAATTTGATGTGGTGGGGGGAATCTCAGACCTCAAGTTCCAGGTGATTCTACTTTTTCTGTGTTGAGTGCTTAAAGCAGGTCTGCCTCCTAAACAGAAGAGGAGTCTAGGGTGTTGACCTCCAACTCCCCAAACACTCCCCCTGACTACCCTTCCAGGGGTTCCCACATCCCACCAGGGATGGTACCAAGAGGAGCTCTGGTACCACCAGGCTTACCTAGGATACTTCAGGAAGCTCCTGAATCTTCTAGGGACCTTCTCTCTTGCCTCTCCCAGGTCATCCACAACTATGGCCACGGAGGCTATGGGCTCACCATCCACTGGGGCTGTGCCCTGGAGGTGGCCAAGATCTTTGGGAAAATCCTGGAAGAAAGGAATTTGCTCAGGATGCCAACATCCCACCTCTGAAGATGGCAGTGACCTCCGCCTCCCCCACAAAAACTCCCTGCTCCCCTCAGCCAACTAATCATCGCACCCATCGTTAACCCCCCACTCCACCTGACTCCTTTTTGCAAGAAGCACAAGGTGAGAGGAGACCACGGGGTCAATTCCTGAAGGAGAGTCCTATTATCCCATGAGTCCTCAGAGGAAGGAAAACTCAGAATATCCAAGTGGCGAAGGAACTCTGAGCGAGGGAGAGTGTGAGGGAGCCCCGAGTGAGGGAGATCTGGGTGATTGAGGCTGTTGCAACCTTGGTTCCCTAAGGCCACAGAATGCACTTGACGTAACTGGTATCAGATTTCACTGCAGGAATTTATACATAGAACTGGGGTATAGAGAAGACAGACGAGGAGAGCCATTGAACTAGCAACATGGGATGCCTGTTCCACATCCAGCACTCCTAATGGCTTCAGCTGCCCACTAGCGGCCCCACGGGCACTATGTAACCCTTGAGGAGGACCCCTTGGGGGTCATCCCCAAAGGAACCCCTTTATAGATAACTAAATTCACCAAGCAGATTGAATGTGTCCCTTACCTTCTGGCTAGCACACTCTGGGATAGCAAACAGGCTTCCAGATGTTTTTGAGAGCTTTGAATGAGCCCAGATGGCACCTTAGCATCTTCATCCTTAATTATCTGCCTCAGCCTCTGAGGTGAATTTTTATCTCTCTGGGGCTTTGGTAAAAACCAGAGCCTAGTATTCCTCATGCATCTGGGACCAGTGACACCCTATGTGCTGTGAAGGGGTCTTGATTGGCCCATGCCATCTATATCCATGTCATTTCACCTGATGGGCTCTTCATGGAGCATGTGCCATGAAGATTTTGGCTGGCCCTAAGCTAAGCAGGGTATGAGAGCCAAGATCTTAGAATTCCTGCCCTAATAATAATAACAACAATTATTATTTTTATTATAGTTATAATTTTTTGCATTCTAACGAGCTACCGGTGCTCAACTCTTACAAACATTACGCATTTATTCCTTACAACCTACCCCCACCACTCCCAGGAAGTATCTATTATTCCCATTTCGTAGGTGAGAAGACCAAGGCACAGAGAGGCAATACAAGGCCAGCAGCTGGGAAGGGGTAGAATGGAGATTCAGGGCCAGAAATTATGTGGTTCCAGTGCCTCACTTTCAACCACCATGAAACACTGAATCCCAGGTTGGGGGGAAATATATAGTCACGAAGGAATCGGTTGGCCTCCTCCCCAACTACTGCAAACACACTGTAAAGGAACCAGGTCTCTCCTCCTCACAGCCACATTTGGGCCAAGATCAGGGGACTCTCACCAGATTGGAGTCAGGGACACTTCCTGGTGCTTGGAGTGGAACACCATTTTTGACTAAAGTGATTGCCTATCCTAAAATTCCCCAGGGAAAGTGACCCCTACCGCTCGAGGTTCATTGTCAGCAGGAACACTACAGGGCCCAGAACACAGTGAACTCACAAAAATACATGGCCAGGGCTTCCCTGGTGGCGCAGTGGTTGAGAGTCCACCTGCCGATGCAGGGGACACGGGTTCGTGTCCCGGTCCGGGAAGATCCCATGTGCCGCAGAGCGGCTGGGCCCATGAGCCATGGCCGCAGAGCCTGTGCGTCCGGAGCCTGTGCTCTGCAACGGGAGAGGCCCATCTATCGCAAAAAAAAAAAAAAACATGGCCAGGAAAGTCTCTATTCAGACCCAAAGTGACCCTCCTTTTTGTAAATGGTAAAGACCTCTTTGCAGTGTGGTTTCCTCTTGATTCCATTCCAAAATTCAGAATAGAAGGTGCATGGGGAAAGTCTGCAATCCACATGGCGCTGTAGGACATTTGCCTTGATGTCTTCATTCTTCTTCACTTAACATTCCTGCTCCTTCCCCAGTGGTGATCTACAACCATATTTACAATGAATGCTCGGCCGCTTGCTGAGTTTATAAAAGTTTATCTTTTCTCATTGAATTGTTTTGGAACTTTGGTGAAAAATCAATTGACCATAAATGTATGGGTTTATTTTTAGACTCTCATTTCTATTCTATTCATCTGTATATCTACCCTTATGCCAGAACCACACTGTCTTTTTTTATTTTTAATACATCTTTATTAGAGTATAATTACTTTACAATGTTGTGTTAGTTTCTGCTGTACAAGGACCACACTGTCTTGGTTACTTGTAGCTTTGTAGTTAAGTTTTAAAATCAGGAAGTGTGAGTCCTCCAACTTTAGTCTTCTTTTTCAAGATATTTTTTGGCTACTCTGGGTCCTTTTAGTTCCATATGCATTTTACGATCAGCTTGCCGATTTCTGCCCCAAAAAGCCAGCTGGGAATTCGACAGGGATGTGTTGAATTCATAAGGTTAATTTTGGGAGTACTGATTGACACCTTAACAATTTTAAGTCTTCTGATCCATGGTCATGGAATGTCTCTCCATGTATTCAGATCTCTGATTTCTTTCAGTAATGTTTTGTAGTTTGCAAAAGTCTTGCACTCCTTTTGTTAAATTCATTCCTAAGCGTTTTATCCTTTTTGATGCTATTGCGGGTGGAACTGTGTTCTTACTGATGAATCTGGGAAGCGCTCTGTTCTCTGGCATGGTGGGGGTAGGGGTACTTGAAGTGGTTCATCATCAAAATACTCTTGATTAATTTAGAATGATTATACGTGATGTATCCAGATGTTCCAATGTCAAGGAATCAGAATATAGTAAAGTACCAATGGTGACTAAATCCGGCTGTAATCACCGAATCTTTGAAGAGCTGGAAGGTGCTTCAGGATGTTCTAGAGCTTTGGGATTGGCATCCTGTGTGCCTCCCACAATACTCTGCATCCCTCCATTAGCGCCCATATCAATCTGTGTCCCACCCATCTACGCTCTCCCCACTACGCTGTGAGCACATGAAGATAAGGACCATGTCTCAATTCTTTTTCGCAACCTCTGTGTTAAATATCGTGCCGATACATGGTGGATACTCCGTGTATACTGACCACATGCCATGCCATGACCCAAAATACAGTTATAATGAACAGACTCCAAAGTTTACCTATGTGCTGCTGTGGGTTCTAGGCATACCATTAATTGTCTGTGCCACCACTAGTTGTCATGGCCAAAGCTGCCATGTTCGTGCCTCTTGATCCCACCTCTCCCTGACCCAACTGATTGGACCAGGATTGGAACCAACACTGAACTGGGCCAATCAGCTTTCCCTCCCGAGACTTTAGAAGCGGGACACTGAACAGCTGAGTCAGATGTGTTTGCAGAGCCGAGCCCTGGTGAGCCCGAGCTATATGCATAGTCAGGCAGGCATATGCAGCAGCCATGAGGGGTCAGTAGGAAGCCAGTCTGCGGAGAGGGACAGAAACCAGGGCCACGGACCCAGAGAGAGGGCTGCCTCAGGCCCTGGTGGCTCTCCAGGTCCCCGTTCCATTTATTTCAGCGATCTTTCTAACCTTTCAGAGGCCGCAGACTGGTCGCCCATCAACCAAATCTGGCCTACAGATGAATTTTATTGGAGCCACACATTTAAAAATTTAAACAATCCAACATAATAAAATTAAAAAAAAAATTGATCTAACATACTAAAATTTGGAGATTTCACATAAGAATCCAGATTCTTGTCTTGGAAACCAGGCGATTCTATGGTACAACAAAATCAACCGGAGCTGAGTAGTAACCCCCCCATGTCCCATACTCTGCCACAACCTTCCCCTCTTCCTGTTGTTCCTTACACTTCCGTTTCCCGCGTTTATAGTCCCCAGGAAATTAACCACTGTTCCCAGTCTTATATTAAAGCTGTACTGCTTGATTTGAATTAATCTGAGTACAATTTCTATTCCTTGCAACTAAAACAGCCTTGATGAGAACTCTGTCAAGGTTTCTCTCCACTATCTCCCATCCCACCACTATTGTCTTCCTTCTACCAGAATCTCAATTTTGTGTTCAAGAGGCTGTGGGTATCTCTTGATCCTGTGGGAGATAGGCCGTTCCTTCCCCAGCCCTAGGGGAGGGCTCATGCTGGGATGGGCATGCGACCCAGGTTTGACCAATGCAAAGCAATGGTAAATCTGCTGCGGGATTTCCCTTTCCAACCAAAAACAACAGGCCCTTTAGAAAGAAAACCTTCTGTGACTGCTCCTTCCCCATTCTAACATCTTGGAAAAAAACTTGATGCCTGGCACTTTGACAGCTATTTTGTGACCATGAGGTTTCACACATAGGGTCAATGGGCAAGATGCAGAGGACGGTAGAGAGGAAAGGCAAAAAGAAGCTGGGTCCTTGATGACATTGTTGAGCTGCTGAACCTTCCCTGGAACTCTCTGACTCTGGGCTTGTTGTCAAATGAACAATTAATATTCTAATGGGTTAAACTACTATTGGTAGGTTTTACTGTTGCTTGCAGCTCAAGGTTATCCCAGTCCTTTGATGTTTACTATAACCAAGGAATGATCTTATCCTTCAAGCCTCTCTGTTGCTTAACATTATTTAAAAATAATGCACATCCATATTCATTTCAAAGCCCATCTCTAAGATACTGTTTTATCTCACTGCCAACACATCCCATTTATGTATCCCTGAGCATACTTGAAGGGAAAGAAAGAAACCATATAACCCTGGCTACACTGAACATCTTTTTATCATTTTCTAAAATCTTTCCTAACACTGAGAGAAACAGATGACATTTCCAGTACTGAAAAGGGGAGCTTCTGGACAGTTCAAAATTAGATACAAAGGTCTTCAGCTAAAGGTCTCACGCATTCCAGAGGTTTGGGCAACTTTTGTGGCAGCTCTTGTATCATTCAATAATATCGATTTTATACAAGGGCAGGCAATTTAGAAGGCCAAGAGTTTTCACCTTTCATTTTCTCAACAAGAGAAAACCCACAACTACAAGCCTCTTTACTCCAGCCCCTGGAAAACATCTCTGCCCACCAAGCCCTCCTTCGCCACCGCAGCCCCCAGATCCTCCAGGTTATTTGAGGGTGAAGCAAGTGGACTTGCTCATCCGGCAGTGTCTGGCCAGCTGGAAGGCAAAAAAGACAAGCATAGGCTCTTAGTTACCCAGGAGAGCTCAGCAGACCAGAAATAATTAAAGCTTTAGCCACTCGTGGTCCAGGGAGATGTGGGTGTCAGAGAAAGGAAGCTCTGCCAAGCTGCCCCCTCTGACTGCCTGGGCTTAGAGGGCTGCAGTACATATATTCAGGGATGTGGGATGATTTGCAGTCGATCTAGGACCTGGGCCTGAAGAAGTCACCCACTGCGACCTCCACACCATTAGAAGCAAGTGTTGCTTCCAACAGACTCAAAGTTGGCCGCCAACTGTGCACCTTTTCCCCCTTGCTGGAAAGACTGTCATATTAAAGCAAATGAAAGCATTGAGCTTACCCTACATGGATAAAGTTGGCAACACCGTTAAGCTGAACCATCACTAGGACGTTGTGACAAACGAACAAACTTCAACCCTTGCAACGTCCGTCACCAACATGTTTTAATAAAGGTGAACGTACACATTTGGCTTCCTCGGAATGTTCACTTCAAGCAGATATCTCCAAGCAGACGGTCAGTCTTCTCTGGCCTTTGATGGGATCTGGCATCTTCGTCTCTCCTTCCCTAAGTTCCTGCCTTCATGGCGGGGAAAAGGCTCGTGGAAACCAAATCCTGGAGGTGGATGTTGTCTGCTGAGACACAGCATCAGCCCTTCCTCTGGAGGCCAACCCCCAAATCCAGTTGACCTCCCTTCTCTTTCTTTGAAAATGTACACGTTTCACACATCTGGGCCCGCCCGTTCCTCCCTACCCACGGTATCCATGCCGTGGGGTCCATTGCTGGAACCCCAGGAGCTGCCTCTATGGAAAGACCAAGCCACCCCTTGACAGCAGGGATGGCAGAGAATCCAGGGAGGAAGGATTCCTGGTCCCCTGGCCCGCACAGGAGCAGGTGGCTGGGGGGAGCATCTTTCTGTTTCTCGGTCCATTTGGCCACCCACCGTGCTCAAACTCCAAAGCACTGAAACCTGACTTAACTGTTTTCTTGCCCCAAGAGTCACCAATCAGCCTGACCAACGAGGGGGCCAGAAAAGAAGCCCCCTGGCGCGACTTTTGCTGCTTCCAAAGGGGAGGCCCCTGCTTTGGTCGTGGGCTTGGTTCTCACCTCCCTTTTGCCTCCATCCCCAATTCCTGGGGGTAAAAGCTTTCTGAGGCTGTCATCTAGTGCAAGCCCAGCTGTCCTCGTGGCCACATTTGGATCCCCTGGAGCCAGGGACAGCAACTCCAAGAGGGGGCCAGGTGGAGGCACGCGGCTCAAGTTCAAATGCATGTCCATTGGCCAGAGTCTCCACTACTCAGCCCTGGGAAGGCAAAGCGAGGGGCCCCTTCCCTGGGAGCATTTCTCAGACCCAAGAAAAAGCTGCTCAGGCCACACCCAGGTCACCTGCAATTTCAAAGAAGAAAGCCTGGGGCCGGGGATTGCAGGAGAAACCTAAGAACAGGTCCAGCGGGTGAGTGGCAGGTCTCACAGGGGTCCCGGCCTGGAGTGTATCTACAAAGACCTTTCGGTTGTTGTTCACCGAGGCTGGGACCGGCTGACTCTGGATGGTGTCCAGCTGGCTACCGGCGTCACCAGGCACTGCTGAGGTGGCAGTTTTCCCATGCAGATCCACAGGTTATTAACAAACCCACACACACATATACGGAGAACCCCCCAGAGCAAATGCCTCCCCAGCCCCAGATGGATCTTGATAAATATGAGAAAACAGTCAAGACACAAAACCTCATTGGTCCAGGTGGCACCCTTGGGTGAGTTCTTGATGTGGGCAGTGACGATCGGTGCCCCCGCCGGGCTCCAGCAGCTCCCCGCTCTCTACAGCCTCAAAAACCAGCTCAGCCCCCCATCGGTCACTACTCCTGAGAGCCCGAGTTCGACCTAGCGACACCTGTGCCGTGTGTCCCTCGGCCGACCATCTCCTGGCCCCACTCCCGATGGCTGGACTCCTGCAGTCCACGGCCTTTGGTCTCAATGGGCAAAAAGCAGGAGGCCAGGGCAGCCAGGAGGCAGCAGCCACTGTAAACCACCAGCGTCAGGTACACGGACGATTCCAGCATCACCTGGGGGGAGGGAGATGCATGCCGGTGAGAGCATCCCTTCTGACGCACAGGCACCACCAACCACACAGATAATATTGAGAACGCCAGGCCCTCTCGTAAGCCCTCTTTATCACTGGACTCCCATGGAGTCCTCACGACAGTTTTATCAGGTATGTCCTCCACCCCCATTTTACAGAGGGAAAAACTGAGGCTCAAAGAGGATTAAGCAGCATACCCAAGTTCATACAAAGACTAAGGATGGGGCTGAGATTTGAACCCAGACCCCATCAGGCTCAAGAGTCTATTTATTCTCTCCCAAAGCAGCATGTCTGCTGACTTCCTAGCTTTATGTCCCAGGGCACGTCACGCAGCAGAGCTAAACCTCATTTCCTCATCTGCCGAACGGGCAGAAGAGCGGTAGCCATCTCCCAATGAGAAGATGCCTCACTTGACACCATGCAGGCACATGGCAAGCTGTCAACCAGTGCTAGTTAATAGTGACGTACAATGGCCAAACACAACGGTTTGCTAAAACACGTGTTGGAATTCTATTTACACAAAATACCCAGAAGAGGTAAAATTCATCCAGACAGAATGCAGACCAGTGGTTCCCAGGGGCTGGAGGAGGGGGAGCTGGGGAGTGACTGCTGAATGGATACGGAGGTTTATTTGGGGGAGAGGAAAATGTTTTGGAACTAGATAAGAGATGGTGGTTGCCCATCATTGTGAATGTGCTACATGCCACTGAATTGTTCACTTTATTTTTAAAATTTTATTTATTTATTTGGCTGCGCTGCACAGCTTGCGGGATCTTAGTTCCCCGAGCAGCGTTTGAACCTGGGCCCCAGCATTGGAAGCGCGGAGTCCTAACCACTGGACAGCCAAGGAATTCCCCAAATCATTCACCACCAGGGAATTCCCTGAATTAAAATGGTTAATTTTATGTTAGGTGACTTTTACCTCAATTTTTAAAAAGTGATAAAAACAGGAAAAAATGAATTGGATATTAAAAAAGCAAAAAGATTCCCAAACAAGCTCCCCCCAAAAGGAGAGAAATGCTTCGAGACACAAAGAGCTGCAAAATTCTGCAACGATACCAAATCAACCAACTCAGAAACCAGGGCCTGGGACATTTGTTTCCCGCTAAGGCATGGTGGCCTGTTTATTCTCATCCAAATTGTTTTTGGCCAAATCATCGGAAAGACCTGAGTTTGATTCCCAGCTCCTCTACTTCACAGCTGTGCGACCTTGGACAAGTCCCTTGACCCTTCTGAGCCTCAGTTTTCTCATCTGCAAGCAATACTTCTTCGTAGGATGGGCTGCTAGGATGAGATCAGGTAATTCACACCAAGGGCAGGGCAGAAACTCAGAGTACAGTAACAGCCTGCCACGCAATGGCTTTTGTCACGCGCACCCCCTCTGTATTTGGGGTGACACCTACCTGAGCAATGAACGGGGTGATGAGCGCGCCCACCCTTGCCATGCCGCTGCAGGTGCCCAGGCCCAGAGCTCGGGTCGCTGTGGGGTAGACCTGAAACACAGCCGCCAAAGTGGCCGCACTGAGAAAATGCAGGCCCCCTCCCTCCTCTCCGGCTCGGGAATGATGGGAATCCCAACCGCCGCCCCACACCCTGCCCCTGGGGGCAGGTGGGCCTGAATTAGGGTCAATCCCTCAGGGGTTGGTGATACCAAGAAGGGGTGGGAGGGCAGGGTGGGGAGTCTCATCCCGAAGGGGACAGGAAACTCAACCGATGAGGGCAAGACGCCAAGCTGGGGGTGGGAACCTAGGAAGGGGGTCCTCCCTGCCCTGGGTGGTTATATCCAAATGAATAAATGAATAAATACTAAATTCCTATTTTTTCTTTCTTTCTACCATGGGGAATTTCAAGCACAGACTAAAGTAGAATGGCGTTATCAGTCGTCTAGGACCAAGCCTAGAGGGCCTGTGTTAGTTTCAATCATCCTCTCTCACCTCCTTCCCCTCCTAAATTACACTAAACCAAATCCTAGCAGTGGTATAATGTCATCCACTCGGTATTTCTGTATACGCTGCTTTGAAGAATTTTTCCTCTTAGAAGAAGACTGCAGACATTTCCCATGTCCATATTTGGTCTTCGCCAGTAGCATAATTTTTATGGGCTGTACAGGATTCTATCGCTAGGATCAATCCTCATTTATTGAACCAATTCTTCATTGTTAGGAATAGCCAGCTGGATTAGTTGAAGCCAGGAGTCAGCAAACTTTGTCTTAAAGGGCCACAGAGTAAATAATTTGGGCTCTGTGGACCATCTGGTCTCCGGCAACTACTCAGCTCTGCCCCTGTAACACAAAAGCAGCTGTAGACAACAACAGCACGTGAAGGGCTGGGGCGTGTTCCAGTAAAGCTTTATTAATGAACACTGACATTTAAATTTCATATGTCAGGAAATATCCTTTTGATTTTGCTTTCAACCGTTTAAAAACATAAAAACCATTCTTAGCTTTTGGGCTATCCAAACACAGGCAGCAGGTTGGATATGTCCCGCGGGTCATAGTTTGCTGAGCCCTGGTATTTGCCCTCGTAGACCTTGGGCCTCCCAGTCCCTGCAGGGCAGGCAGCCTTCTCCTGGTACTCTTCTGGGAGGCTCCAGCAATCAATCCACAAGCCTTTGTTGAGGGGACACTAGGCCAGATGAGAGTCACAGAGTAGGAGACCCAGGCCCTGCCCCTAGGGAGCCTTAGTAGGAGTCTCCCTGGGGGACAAGCAAGGTGGCATGACTAAAAATACCAAAGAGGCACACAGACACTGAGGGCAAAATGAAGTTGGGGGGGGGTGGATCCTGGAGGGCTTCCCGGAGCAGCAGCATTGGAGCTGGGCCTGGAAGGTGGGGTGGAGGGAGCAGGGCTCAGGATGATACTCAAAGTGAGGGCTCTGGAGTGCTGTGCAGACCTGAGGGACAATCTAGATGGCTTCTTCCCCTGGCACAGCACCTGGTACATACTATCCTCTCCCTCCCTTTGACCCTATCTAAAATAAGATGAGATAAAATAAATACAAAACAAGTAACCCATAATCCCCATGTGGGAAAATGGACACTCTGAGACGCTGTTGCATGGACTGTAAGTTCAGGCAACATTTTAGAGGTTGATTTTTTTTTTTTCAATCTTTCTCAATGTTTGTAATGTTTATTATAGGCTCTAATTCAGAAATTCCACGTCTTATTTATTCTAAAGAAACCACACATGTGCACAAGGATAGGTAAAGCTATTTACCTCCACACTATAATAGTGAAAAGTTGGAAAATGATTCAAATATCCATTGGTAGGAGAATTGTTACAAAATTATGATTTGCCCATACTATACTATATAATATAGTGTGGTATGTAATATATACAATATAGTATAATAAAGTATATTATATAATATTAAGTATACATTCTATAACAAAGTACAGTATATAATATTGATGCATAGCATATATATTATACAGTGTAGTAAAGGAATGTACCTAATAACATAGTGTGTAGATTACCATACAGTACAGGACAGTATAGTACAGCAGCTATTAAAACGAACAAAGCAGGTCCATATGTCCTGTGCTCCTTGTCTTCCATCTTCCCCTCCAGAACCTCTCTCTACCCCTCCCCACCTCATTCTCTGCCCTGGGGGCTGGCCACTGTGGACCACCAAGCGCTCCTAGGCTCTCTGCCTTACAGTTGGGTTCAGCCAATGGGAAGCCACAGTGGGAGATGGGCGGGAGGTGGGAGAGAGAGGCCAGGGTATTTATTCTCCTGCTCCTTCCGGTCTAGGTTGCCTAAGGGCACATGTGTCCCTCAACTAAAGGTCACAGCTTTTCTCCGCACAGTTCCCTCCTGGGACCCTGTAACACCCCATCGCCACACCCCACAGGCCTTGGGTGGTAGCTGTGTCCCCAGCCACCTCCACCTCATTGTGAGCTCTGGGCGCTGCTCCATCACTTTTTGGTTTCCCTAAGCCCTATCCTACACCACTGTAATCCGTCCTTTATTAAACTCATCTCAGTTGCTCAGTTACCCAATTTGATACATGCACGAACATAAATTAGGAAAAAATCTGGAAGAATATACACTGAACCATTCAAGAAGGTGGTCTCTAGGAAGGCAGAATGTGAGGCCCTTTAGTTTGGGGGTTTTATACAGTTCTGTAACATTTGGAACTTGTACACTGACCATAAGCTTTTGTAAGCAGAAAACAATGACTGAACGAAAGCCTGAAATAATGAAGGCCTTCACAGCCGCCACTCAGACTCAAGGACAAATTTCACTCAGAGGAGCCCAGGCCGGGTGTTTCCGGAGAAAACACCCGCCCCCTTCCCACCCCGGCTGCTCCCAGGCATCCCTCCTACCTCAGGTGTGTAAACATAGGCTGCTTGGAAGCCTCCAGAAATAAACGCTCTTGCAATGAAGAGTAACAGAGTGAGCATATTTCTGGGAAGAGAAAAAAAAAGCAGATGAGCAAGTATTTTTTCTGACAGTTTCTTTCAGCAAAGTTTTATCTGCCCAGGTAGAATTTACACCCTAGAAACTGGCAAAGCCCACCTCACCCAACACACCATCAGGCAGGCACGCAGCCACACGCATCCCAGCGGTCTCTTGGAAGACCTGCTTTTATAAGTTCATCATTCTCCAAAGTTCCAGGCTAAAATGGTGGTGCCCAGGGTGGGGCACGGCTGGGGTGAAGTGATGTAAATAATGCAAAGCCCAGATAGGACCTAGTGGGGGCAGGAATTGAGCCAGGAACCAGCTGAACCAGGGAAAGGAAACTTCTCTTCAGTATTTTGAGGATAATCGTGATCCCCAGCCCTCTGTTCCATTGTTCCCATAATGTCTTTGAATATCAACATTTCCAGATCTAAGCGACATCTCCAGACCTTTCACAGATCTCTCATCTGTGGTTCGGTCTGGGGCCTCTTGGAGATCAACACAGGCCAGTTCCATATTTTGAGGCTCCTGACAGATGGAAAAAATGGAGAAATGCCAGAAGGGGATTATAAAACAAGACCTTGAAATATTGCCATGGAACAAATGAACACTTTTAACCCATATATGAATTAAACAGCTATCTGTATGATCTTACTGGGAGATGATGTCAAAAGTCTACATGTAATGGTGTCAGAGCAAAATTTGGACCAAAATGCCCTCCTACCCCCCTTCCCATCAGAGGCCCCAACTTTGAGCCCAATCTGTTGTCCAGCCAAGAGCCTCAGGCTTAGTGAGGGGCTGGGGTGGGGGTTCCTTCAGGTGCCCCAGGGATGTAATCCACAGTCTGCAGGCACAAAGACCTGACCACGAGCTGAGAAGTAAGCCTGCTGGCCAGAGAGCTGAGTTCACGACCTACCTTCCAACACAGATAAACAGCAGGAGGCTGCAGAGGGAGAAGATGACGAAGCACAGGGCCATGGTCTTCTTGCGGCCCAGGCGGTCGATAATCCAGAGAGTCACAAGAACACCTGCAAGGGAGCAGGGGAGCCATGGGAGGCAGCATCTGACATGAGCCCCAATAACCCCACCTCCTGGTACCACACGCTGTGTAATCCCCTCCTCTTGCAAGTGGGCTGGACCTCATGACTCACTTCTAATGACTAGAATATGGCAGAAGTGATGGGATGTCACTTCTTTTTTTGAGTCAAAAAATTTTATATCGGGAATTCTCTGGCAGTCCAGTGGTTAGAATTCTGTGCTTTCACTGCTGAGGGTCTGGGTTCGATCCCTGGTTGGCGAAAAAAGATCCCATAAGCCATGTGGCATGGCCAAAAAAAAAAAAAAAATGTTTTTATATCAATATTTACGACAAAAAGACTTAAAACAGCGTAAAAGCAATCACTTAAAATTATACTTTCCATAAATGTCATTAATGTAACTAGATGCTAACAAACTGCTTAAAATGCCTTGAGGGGCTTCCCTGGTGGCGCAGTGGTTAAGAATCCGCCCACCAATGCAGGGGACACGGGTTCAAGCCCTGCTCCGGGAAGATCCCACATGCCGCGGAGCAACTAAGCCCGCACGCCACAACTACTGAGCCTGCGCTCTAGAGCCTGCTGGCCACAACTACTGAGCCCGTGCGCTGCAACTACTGAAGCCCGCGCACCTAGAGCCCATGCTCCACAACAAGAGAAGCCACCACAACGAGAAGCACGCACACCGCAACAAAGAGTAGCCCCCGCTCGCCACAACTAGAGAAAGCCCGCGTGCAGCAACAAAGACCCAACACAGCCAAAAATTAAATAAATAAATTTATTAAAAAAAGAAAAAATGCACTGAGTTATATGTCTACTGCAAGGTATATCTGTGAATCTTAGTCAGTGATTAGGATTACAGTTTTTTAAAATCAATTCATGCCAGTCTTAAAGATATACATCCGTATGTCACTAGGGAGGTCACTTCTGAGATAAGCTTATGCAAGACTGACGTCTGTCTTGCTGGCATTTGCCCTCTCCCTGGCTCTTCTCATGAACTTGCCTTGACGGAGAAGGTCACCTGGCAAGAAACTGAAGGTGGTCTCTGGCCAACAGGCAGTGGGGAACAACCGGGGGAGTGAGCATGAAGCAGACCCTGCCTCAGCTGAGCTTTCAGATGAGACCACAGACCCTGGGCCAACACCTCCATTGCAGCCTTGTGAAATACACTGAAGCAGAGGACCCAGGGAAGCCCAGGCTCCTGACTCACAGAAACTGTAATAAATACGTGCTGTGTTAAGCCACTAAATTTTGGAATAATTTGTTACACAGCAATGGATAACTAATACAGGCACCAAGGGGAGCCTGAATAGTGGCATTCACTGAAACCAGGCAGCAGACACCTGGGCTGGGCGTCAGAAACACGTAGGTTCTAAGGCCTCATCTTGCCTCTAACTTGTCATGTGGTCTTAGGTTAGTCCCTTGCCTTCTCTGAACCTCAATCTTCCTTTTTTTTTTTTTGGCCATGCCCGGCAGCATGTGGGATCTTAGTTCCCCAACCAGGAATCAAACCCATGACCCCTGCAGTGGAAGCATGCAGTCCTAACCACTGGACTACCAGGGAATTCCCTGAACATCAATTTCTTCATTGGAGAAGTAGGACTAAATAAAAATAACATTCTCTACCTCAGTAGAGGTGGTATAGCATATTGCTTGATAATAATAATAATAATATAATAATAAAATCTGGGCCAAGCACTTTTACATCTATTATCTTGTTCAATCATCAAAACAAACCTCTAAACTATAATGGAAGAGAATAAAGAAAAGAATATAGACATACACACATATATATATGAATAACCAAATCACTTTGCTGTATACTTGAAACTAACACAATATTGTAAATCAATTAGACTTCAGTTTAAAAAAAAAACCTCTACAAAGCATGCTAATAGCCCATTTCCCACTTTTATTCAATCAATACTTTGAGTACCTACTGTGTGTCAGGAGCTGTTCTAGGAGCTTGGGATGTGTCAGTGAACAAAACAACAAAACAATACATGTAATAATAGGGAGGAAGAATCTGAGTTTCAGACAGGTAAAATCATAGAAATGGTGAAGCCTGAAGTCCCGAAAATGGCAGCTGGCGATGCTGGGTTTAACTCCAGAGGCTTTAATGTTACCTGCTAAGCTATGTGGGAAAGATAGACAATGTAGTATAGGAGTGGACTCTGGGCTCTGGGGTGGGAACACAGGTCTTAGCTCTGCCAGCTGTAGGACACAGTGTCTTAGTTGGGTTTTCCCAGAAGCAGACCCCAGGACAAGGGTCCAAGTGCAAGGTGTTTACTTGGGAGGTCATCCAAGGAAGCACCAGTAGGAGAGTGGAGAAGTGAAACTGGGAAGGGATGCAACTAATAAGGGTGCATATCAAGCAAGTTACCACCATGGGAAATTGCTACTGGATTCTACTGGAGGGCTCTGGGAGTCAGTGTGGAACGCGCACCTTAGAATTCTACCTGATAGGTGAGGAAATTGGGGTATTTATACACTGGTTGAAGGCTGTTCCCAGGTGTTAACTCCCTGGCACCTGCAGCCACCTTTCTTGCTTCTAGACACTGAGGCTTTCAATTCCTCCTGGGATAGCCCTCAGGCACAGAGATGCAGAAATTGGCAGCTACAATTGGCAGGAACCATTTCTGCTACCCCTCTCCAATCCTCAGTTTCTTCAGACGTAAAATGGGAATGATACTACTTCACAAGATGAAATGAGACCATATCTGTAAAATATTTAGCACAGTGCCTGATACATATACAGTAAGCAATCAGTAAATACCAGATATTATTATTGTTGTCATACTACTATTTTTTTAAAGGAAAAAGATAGATCACCTTTGTTTTATGTACAGGTTTGGATTTTTAACACCCCACCGATCCTTTCCAGTGTGACTGGTGCTGGGGAACAATTCCCCACGGGTCTCTTGTATTTCTGCACAGCTTGTGAGCAGAGGCACTAGCTGCCCTTTGGTTCCAAGCTAGCATTTCAAGGTTGTTTGTAGAGCCAACAGCCTTGGAAGACAGAGATACTGCCTCCTTCTAGAGCAAGGGGAAGGTCTGCTTACTGTCCAATGTAATAAAGATGATGCCTCTCTCCAAGGCAAAGGCTGAGCAGGTTTCCGGCAGCCCATTATAAAAGATTTGGGTTCCCGAAGTGTGAGATGCCCGAGCTGTGTTGCAAATCCATTGCACGTGTAAGATTCACCTGGACCCGTCCTCATCATCCCCATGGGACTTGAGGGCAAGAGGAGCCAGCGCTAACATACTACTCAGGCTGCCTGCTGTGTCGTGAGTAATCGTCTTTTGTCTCTGACCCAGGGGTCTTGTGTCTTCTGCCGGTGTGTGTGTGTGTTGTGTGTGTGTGTGTGTGTGTGTGTGAAGCTGGGCAGCTTAACTTGTTAGCCTTCAAATTGAGTAAAATGTCAGCCTCTTCACAGTTCTTGCCAACTTGTAGCTAAGGGTTGAAAACAAATCCCCAGCTTCCCTTAGAAGTGGGATTTGCGGGCTTCCCTGGTGGCGCAGTGGTTGAGAGTCCGCCTGCCACTGCAGGGGACACGGGTTTGTGCCCCGGTCCGGGAAGATCCCACATGCCGCGGAGCGGCTGGGCCCGTGAGCCATGGCCGCTGAGCCTGCGCGTCCGGAGCCTGTGCTCGGCAACGGGAGAGGCCGCAACAGTGAGAGGCCCGCGTACCGTAAAAAAAAAAAAAAGAAATGGGATTTGCTTCCAGGCGGCACCAGGTAAAGCCTTATTCCCAGGAGGCCCTGCCCCAGCCCACGTGGCACAGGTCCCTCACCTGGGAACTCAGACAGGGTGGTCCACAGCAGGTCCATGTAATCCTCCTCACTCAGGTACTCACAGGCCAGGCTGCATTTTGCCTCTACTGCCTTCTTCCGGCTGGAGACTGGAAGGTGGAGAGAGAGAGAGAGAGAAAAAGAGCAAGAGGCATGCGCAGTCTTGGGGTGCAGCCTCCTGCTCTCCACACCTCCTTCCCTGGGTATGATGTGGTTGGGATGCCAGGGAAGGAGCATGGGCTCAGGACTCAGACAGACTCAGGTGTGAATCCCAACCAGCAGTGTTAGAGCTTCATCTCTTTAAGCCCCAGGTTCCTCATAATCCTGGGGCTAATAAACCCTGGGGCAAGGCGGTTGAGACACTGAAAGCAGGTTGTGCATATCAATGTGCTTAGCCCAGAACTGGCACATACTAGGTGCTTTTGTGGCAGACAGACTCTAGGGTGGCCCCAACGACCCCCACCTATATTATCTGGCCCCCATTACTTCCTCGATTGCACCTTCAATCTCCCTCGCTCTGCTCATACTACTCCAGCCACACTGGTCTCCTTGCTGTCCCTTCAATACACAAGGCATGTTCCTGCCTCAGGACCTTTGCACTGGCTGCTCTCATCCTCCATTGCACTTTATATATCCCCATGACTAATTTCCTCACCCCTTTCGAGGCTTTCTTTAAATCTCACCTTCTCACTGAAGCCATCCTGACCACCCCACTTAAAACTCTGACTTGCCCACGGCCACTTACTCTGCTCCACACTCCTGACATCCCTTACCTTGCTTTATCTTTTTTCCCCCAAATCATTTGTTAGGAAACAGAGTCAAAGACTTCGAAATGGGCAAAATGTCCTGTCTTGTGAACCCTTATAGGTTATCTCAGCTTTCATGATCTTTAAGCGCTTTCACAACTTCGCATTATAGAATACCAGTGCAAATGATTCTTGTCCATAAAAATGCAAGCGGCGTCTGGTGGTGATGTGGTTGATTATTGCCTTATGCACACTGCCAATTTTTGCCTCTAAGTGTAAATCCATTTCAGCTTTTCTGATTGCCTATATACATGTGTGTTTTGAATTCTCCTTTGAACCAACTGTAACCTCTTACTGGTGTTAGCAGACAATTCCCCATGGGTCTCTCATGTTCTCTGCCTGTTTTATAAGCGGAGGCACTGACTGCCTTTGTTCTGGACTATCTTTTCAAGGATTTTAGTTTAGCAAACAGCCTTGAAAGATAGAGAGGATCTCCCTCTGGTGCAAAGGGCAGGTTTCCTTATGGCCTTTGAAGATAGAGCATCTTTCTGCAGAACAAAGAGCTGGTAGGCTTATTATCTGGTATAAAAGATCTGGGTGCCCTAAGTTCAGAGTTCCTCTCATAACACAATCCACTGCTCCTTCCCTATCACTTTCCCACCCAGGTGTAACAGTGAGTTTTTTTTTTTTTTGTGGTACACGGGCCTCTCACTGTTGTGGCCTCTCCCGTTGCGGAGCACAGGCTCCGGACGCGCAGGCTCAGCGGCCATGGATCACGGGCCCAGCCGCTCCGCGGCACGTGGGATCTTCCCGGACCGGGGCACGAACCCGTGTCCCCTGCATTGGCAGGCGGACTCTCAACCACTGCGCCACCAGGGAAGCCCAAGAGTGAGCTTTTAACACGGGGTGGCAAACGACCGCCTGCAGGCCAAATCTGGTCTCCTGCCTGTTTCTGCCTGGCCAGCAGGCTAAGAATGGTTTTTACATTTTTTAATGATTTTTAAAATCAAAAGAAGAATAACATTTCATGACATAAAAATGACATGAAATTCAAATTTGTGGTTGTGAAAAAGATTTCCTTGGTGGGAAGTCCCTGGAGGTCCAGTGGTAAGGACTTCGCGTTCTCACTGCCGAGGGCCTGGGTTCGATCCCTGGCTGGGGAACTAAGATCCCACAAGCCGTGCTGCGTGGCCAAAATAAAAAAAAAGGTTTCCTTGGAACACAAGCAAGGCTTGCTTGTTTACATATTATCCATAGCTGCTTTTCTGCTACAATGGCAGAGCCGTTTGGCCCACAGAGCCTAAAATATTTACTATCTGGCTGTTTATAGAAAAACTCTGCCAACCCTTCCTCTATAACATCCCAGTGGATCCTCTGCTTTGCTTAAGCAGGTCCACTGTTACGGTGAAACCAAGCAGGAGGCTGTGGGGCAAATCCTGGGTATGAATCCTTTCCATGCTCCCCGTTTCTTGCTTGTAGGAATAGACTTCATTCAAGCCTCCTAGACCTTCCCTGAGTTCCAAAGGGCAGGTTCAAACAGTTGCTAATCAGGGAAGGGAGGGGATGCAGAGAAAGGGAAGGAGCTGTCAAGAAACAATAGTGCAGACTTGGGGCAGAGTCCTGGTTCCTCCTCAAGGAATATACATAACAATATCTTTGAGTTCTGCAGGAACTAAGGCCCTCACCCAGGTTGAGGATGGTAACTTCAGGCTGAGCCCAAGATTCCTGGAACATCACCCTGTTCCCTCACCACCAACCAATCAGAAGAAAGTCACATACCCTGCGGCCGTCCCCCCCACCAAATTCTGCCTCTAAAAACTTCTCCCCCCCGCCAAACCATCGGGGAGTTCAGGGTTTTTGAGCACAAGTCACCCGTCCTCCTTGCTCAGCCCTGCCATAAACCTTTCTCTGCTCCAAACTACAATGGTTTCAGTTTGTTTGGCCTCACTGTGTGTCAGGCACACGAACTTGTATTCGGCCACAGAGGCAAAGGATTTAGGCTCAATCAATACCAAACCCAGAATTTATAACTGAACTGCTTCTCAGGGCGGTTAAGGCTCTCCCACACCTCCCAGCGAGATGTGATTCCGCTGTATTATTAAATCCTTATACCAATAAACAAAACTATTAACTCAGATTATAGAGGCTTCATATGAAAAAGAAAATTGGACAAATCCCGCAAACAGGCAAGAACTTGATCCCTTTATCCCCCATCCCAGGTTCAATGCTAGGAATCTAATATTCCCTTAAAAGACAGATTGGTTTGAAGTCCAGACATCTGTGTAGAGACTTTGCTCTTTATTCATTCCTTTTGTCCAGTGCTTTCCACCTCCAGCTCTACAACAGAATCACCTAGGGAGCTTTTCAAACCTACTCATGCCTGGGCCCTCCCCCCAAAGCCACTGATTAAATTGGTTTGGGCATTGTTTAAATGGCACTGCCTTTGTGGAAAAGCTCCCCCCGCTGATTCTGTTGTGTGGCCAGGATCGAGCTCCAGCCTGATTCTCAGACTTGATGCACACGCAGAGGATGGCTACACAGGGTCACAGCCATAAAACTCAGGGCTGTACTTCACGGACCTCTTTAGGGGACATAAGATGTGATTCTGCTCTAATGTCAGGTCTACCGTGACAAGAAGGTCCAGGTTTCTACAGAGCGTCTTGGAAACCACAACCCAGCTCTTTCATGCTCAGATTTTGCAGAAACTTTCTCCCTGGAGTTTGTGCAGGGCCAGGCCCTGTGAGGGCAGAACCTGGGCTGGGGTGTGCGTGTGTGTGACCTCGTGTGTTGGAAGTGGGCAGGGGCGGGAGGGGACGGTGTTAACTGCGAAAGGGCTGTTGATACTCACTGCTGCAGACATCTCCTGCCTGGAAGAGCTCAGTGGTAAGCAGAACTAATCCATAGTAAGAGAATGCATTGGAAAACCTGCCAGGAAGGAAGCAAGAAAGGTAAGGAAATGATGGGAGAAATGCAGGTCCCCATTCCCTAACCCCTCTGGAAGGACTTGCAGCTCTACCAGCAGAGACTAGGCTTTGGGCTCAGGCCACACTGGGCCTTTGCGGGGCTTTCCTGGGCTGCTTGAGCAGGAAGATGGTGGGTACAAAGCATAATGATGCGATAAAGGGAAGTGATCCTGTGTCCTTTGAAAGATCAAGAACTGAATTCTATCACAGATAAAGCTACCTCCAAGGCTGTTCAGTCAACTGGCAAAAGGAGGGGAAAAAAATGGGGGAACCAAAATTTGGTAGAAAACAGTCATTTTGACAGATGCCAACAGATGTCAGGGCTTCTGGGTTGAGTTGAATAGGGAGGAGGAGGGAGATATATTTAATAATACAGGTAGCCCCTACTTTTTCAAAAGTTTGCTTTACTGCACTTCGCTTTTACGAAAGACCTACATTAGTACCTGGTTTTGCTCGCCAGAAGAAATCCGAAGAGGATTTTCACTTTTACGAAAAAAGGGAAAAGCGAAAACAGCATCCAGCGCTTATTTTATAGAGGCAGCACCTGCCCCAAGCAGCGAGAGTAGCGCCACCAAGCCCCTTTCCCGGGAACTACACTCAGCACCTCAGCATCAAGCTGCCATTAGCTTTTTATTTTTCAATTTATTTTACTGAAGTATAACTGATTTACAATGTTGTGTTAATTTCCGCTGTACAAAAAAGTGATTCAGTTATACCTATATATACATTCTTTTTCAGATTCAAGCTGCCATTAGCTTTGAACTGTGTCTATGAGCATCTGTGCTTTACCTCCATTTATTTTGTTTCTTTTATTAGCAAGACATGTCCTCAGGTGATTACTTCTCTTTATGCCGCTTTGCCCCCCCCCCCGCATTCCTGAGAGCTACATCAACTCACCAAGCATTTATTAAACGCCTGCTGTGTGCCCAGTCAAATGCGGAGTCTGCAGACTTCTTGAGCATTTCAGATCAGAATGACGCAGTTAACTAATTCCCGACTGTCCTTGGAACCAGAATACTCAAGTCTGTAGGGCCGGAATATTCTCATCCCGTGGTACAGTTATGTGGGAGCTCAGTCATAATCAGAAGCCGATAATTACTTTCCTTGAGTTACAACATGTGCCCGCAAATGTGATTTCTATAGTATTCTAAAATTAGTCTCTCATTAATTACTCAGTATTTAAGTAGTGTCACCCCAACAGAGTCACATGCGCTCAAAGATAGACACCCTCAATTCTGTTTCCCCACCTTTGAAAATATCCTGCCAGCTCCATACTTGTACTGGGCACACAGCAGGTGTTTAATAAAGGCGTGGTGAGTTGATTCAGCTCTCAGGAATGCGGGGCGGGGGGTGCAGAGCTGGAGCCCCCGGCTTTGGAATTATCAAAGCTTTCCCCTCCTCTTCCCTGCAGTTGACCTCTTTGAGGACACTCCCCTGCTAATTAGCACCTCTGCTCAAAGGTAAATAGGAAAAGTGAGAACTGTTGAAAACAGGACACATAGCCTCAACAGGGGTAATTTTGTGCACTGTTAATGCTGGAGAAATTAACAGCATTCATGGTAGAAAGAATTGAAAGAAGGGCTGAAATTTGACTAGCTGTGGACTATAAGTTAATTACTCACCACAAATGCCCCCCAGCCAATGCCAAGGTTGTTATTTAAGAAAAAGTGGATCAAGAACTGGAAGTTCTAAGAATGCCCATGTTGACCAAATCAGTGGTTCCCAAGATATTGGCCCTGTGCTGCTGGTGGTACCCAAGGCAATATGAATGGAGAGGGGGATGGATACAGCAAAAGTATTAAATCTTTTTGTGAAAAGAAGAGATTCCTTTAAGTTTCCTTTCAATTCTTTAATGGTATCTCAGTCTTATTTACGGGCTAACGAGTCCCTGACACCTCCCCTCTCTGTCTTTTTTTTTTTTGTAATTTAAGGCAAATCTTAACAGATTTATAAAAGTCGTATATACAAAATACGTTTAAACTAACCCCCCTAGCTATACAATACACTTTTTACACTGCATCGTGTATCTCTTAACCTGGAACACAGCATCCGTAAACCGAGGCCTGTTCCCCACTGTCGGTGCCATTATGGGGGCGGGTGTGGAGCTGCAGCGACACCCCAGGGGCGGTGCCAGTGACCCAGCACTCAGCTGTTGCCCTTGAATTTCCTTTCTGAGTGTAGAGACCCCGGAAGAGCTCAGAGCTCCGTTTCTGCAGCCGCCGCCGCCTCCGATTGCCCCTGCCGCCCTGCACCCTCTGCGGGGTCCCCCACGTGCTACAGGGGCCACAGCACAGCACAGCGGAGGACGTGGCAGAGAGGAGGGGGCCGAGCACACAGCACTGAACTTCCTGGCTGCAGTGGTGTCAACAGAGAATAACGTGCCTGCCAATTTTAGCTGGTTCGATTGGAGTGAAGGAAAAGACACTCGGAATGTTTTGCCATTTGCATAACAGGTCAAAAGGTAATGCTTTAAGATCCTAGAGATGGGCAGACTCAATAGAGATCTATTTTAAATTTCTCGATAAACAGGCTTGTTAGAGAATCTAACAGTTAAGATGATGGGGAGAAAGTTTCACAGGCTGCCCGTGAGCCCTCCTGGGACGGGCCTCGTCCCCGGCTTCCACAGACTCCGCAGCGAGAGCTCTGGCCACCTGTTTGCAGGTGAACCTGGAAAAGGTGCCCGCGCTCATCCAGAAAGCTTGGGTGAGGAGGGAAGCCACGGAGAACTGGCTTTGTTAGCCCGACTGTCAGATCAAGGCTGGTTCCACGTGTGTGACCTGAGTTCCAGAGTCTCCTAGGTGACAGTGCTCTCTGCCCACCGTGGGCACCGACCTTTTTTGAGGGCAGCTTGACAGGCGGTGGTGGGGAGACCTCCAGCGTTACCCCGAGGCTTCGGGAGGCTTCCCCGGGGGCCCGGCCACTGAACGGAGAGGGTGGGGCCCAGGGACACGTGGCGGCTCCGTGAGATGCCTTAAAGCACCCAGGCTGCCACGGCGGCACACCGGGCCTGTCACCACTCAGGGTGGGTGCTGAGCATCACAAAATGGGGCCTCCCGGAACCCCATTCTCAGTTCCTTCCCGACTGGAGAAATTCTGAAGTCGGCTGAAAAGCTGAGCTCCTGGACCAGCTCCAGGAAGCACCAGAACCCAGAGCTGAGGGCCCGTTTCCCACGACTCACAAGGGTCATGCTCTCAGCTGCCTCTACATTGGACTTCCCTCGGCCGGACTCTGGGTCAGCCTCACCAGGTGGGATGCGCGATCCACGCCTCCCCGGTCACCAGAGCGGTCTGGCTCTGCGACCTGCCGGGAAATTCGGTCCCGTGGGAAACCTCCACCTTGGCTGTGAATAGCTGGGGTTATGTTCATTTGGGGGAATTAATCAGCTTCGGAAAGCACAAAATAAAGTGAATTCAGTGTTAATAAAAAGGCGCCTGAGTGACAAGCCTGGAACAGACTGACCAGGACGACTGTGACCCCGTGCGGCTCAGCCCTGTCTACACTCTGTTGGCCGTGCAGTCAGAGTGCCGGCCGCTCGCCCGCCCAGGAGGAAACTCGGGCTGGTCCAGGAACACCCAGTAGCTGCTCTAGTGTTTCACTGTGGTTTGTGTTACACACACACACACACACAAAAGAAAACCACCAGAATAAAAACACTACCTTCATAACCAGATCAGAAGCGGAGAACCCAATTTCCAGGGGGAGCCAGGTGTGCGCTTCTCTGTGAAGCGAGCCACAGGGCCGCGTTTACGGCAACAGATGCAAAGTCTTCGGGTCCCTGTAATAAGAACCTCACAGTGACGTGCCAAGGTCATTGCTGGATTTGAGGAGGACGAGGGAGTCACCACAGGTCAGGATGGGATACAACAGCAGTTCCCTCCTGTTCTCATCTACTCCACACCCTAATTGCTGGCTTCCGGGGAGGGCCCTGCTGCCTACGAGTACTGTGTTTTGGGGCAGGAATCTCATGGTCTATTTCTGAGTTCCACCCCATTTCCTCCCCCTTGCTGTACTCAGACGCCGATTCCCAGGAACATCCATCCTGCCAGGACGTCTGAGAACTCACTCGGGCCCGGCAACATGGCGCTCCTTCCTGCTGTGACCCGGGGTGGGAGCCTCGCGTAGGAAGTTCCCACGTTGAGCAGCGCTCCACTCTCCTAGGGGCTCACGACCACCGTCAGGGTCAGCAGAACCCCTGCAGGTGTGCGGTCCACACCGAGGAGCCGCTCTGGGTATGAAGCATCCCATGACATCCAGCGAGAGGCAGGCACTGGGGGTGCTTCGGGCAGGTAGCAACCTGCTGTGCTTTAAAGTAGTTTTCACCTGAAGAGATGCCAACATGGTGTGGAAACCAAAACCACCTATTTCGATATGCCATCTTGAGCACCAGTGGACACCCAGCCTCTAAGTTCTAGCGGGTTCTGGAGGGCAAGACCTGGCAGGAGAGCAAGGGCCCACACGAGCAGCCGGGCCTTGCGTGACCTGAAGTCCTCCTCCAGCAGAAGGTAGGAACCAGACACCGACAGCAGGACCGAGGAGGCGGAGTGGCCCTTCCACGCCCCACGGGCTCCACTCCACCCACAGCGAGTCTCGCCACTTCCCTGAACTCAGCGCGTATCACGTGCCACCTGCCGTTAAGGGACGTTAACACAGCAAGTGCCGGCCTCTGAGCCGCCTTAACCAAGCAGCTCCTTCCTCTGGGGACTCGCCACCACCCTCTTCAAGGCCCAGGAGGTGCTTCACAAATGCGGTCAGTAAAAGCAGCCCCTTCTCGGGGGAGCTGAGCTCTCAGCCCTCCCAGCTGCAGGCCCAGCACCAACCTTGGCACCAGGGCCTGCGCCCGGAACGCCGAGTCCATGAAATGCAGAATCCCACACACAAGGCCCACCTCTGCCTAGGGCTGCCAGGCAGACTTTAAAAGGGCTTGTCTTCTTCTTCAAACACAGCTCCCTAAATTTCCAGGC